AAATCACTACTAATATCCAATATATTTATCAAACTATATAAGTGGGCCCCACCACCTTCCACCTAAATACTACATATTATATATTAATTACTATACTGTAAATGACTTAAATACTCCATATTATCTATTACAATAATTAACAATTATTTGACACTTTAAATTCTATCAATGCCATATAAATTAGGATAAAAAACCTAACATATAATATTTAAATATATTTAAATTACTATATTATAGAAGAGTCTATAATGACTACCAATGTTCCAATAAGATCACTACTAATGTCCAATATATTTATAAAATATATAAGTCGGCCCCACCACCTTCCACTTAAATACTACATATTATATATTATTAATTACTATACTATAAATCACTACTAATATCCAATATATTTATCAAACTATCTAAGTGGGCCCCACCACCTTCCACTTAAATACTACATATTATATAATAATTATTATACTGTAAATGACTTAAATACTCCATATTATCTATTACAATAATTAACAATTATTTGACACTTTAAATTCTATCAATGCCATATAAATTAGGATAAAAAACCTAACATATAATATTTAAATATATTTAAAAATAATAAGTAATACTATACATTACAATAATTAACAGCTTAATTATTTAAAACTTATATAAAAAATTTAATTGATATTTTTTTATTTAACTTAAACTAGTAGAATAGTTAAATATTTTTAGGATTAAAAATGCCCTTAAAGTATTGAAAATAGCTTTAAAATGCCCTCCTTCCACCTATTGGGTCAAAAATGCCCTTTTTTAACAAAATTATAACACGACATAAATTTTTAGAGAAGAAGTCGCAAAGACTTTCAATAAATGCGGAGAAATAAACACTTTTATATAACTTCCAATAAACGCGGAGAAATAAAATGTACTCGGAAAAAAAACTTCTATTTTTTTATATTTTCTTATTTTTCACTTACAACATGTTTGGTATTACTGCTAAAAAAGTGTTTATTTTTAGAATCATTTTATTAAAAATTGTATTTCAGAAAATTGTTTTTTGAAAAAAAAATGTGTTTGGCTAATTCATTTGAAAGGTGTTTTTGATAAGCAAATTATATTTGACTATTTTTATAATTAAAAAATATTTTTGAAAGTCAAATTACGAAAATGCAAGTATCAATGTGTTTTTAATACTAAAATTATTTTTAAAAGAGAAACTATTTTTAAACAATCAAATCAGAAGAAAATAATATGTAAACTAAGAAAAGGAATTTTTTTTATTTGTTACCATTCTAGGGAGCTGAAAACTTTAATTGTTATTTTCTTAAAAATTGTAAAAGTATTGAAACATATTGAAAAGAAGATTTTTTTAGTTTTTTGTTACCTATTATTTTATTTTTTTGAATTTAATCTTTAGCTATTATCTTTCTTTTTTTTAATAATCCTCTAAAGTTAAAAAAATCAAATTAAACTAAAATAATATGTAAATTAAGAAAAAAAAATTGTTATTTGTTTTTTTTTTTTTTGATAGGGCTGATATACTTTATTTATATTTTTTCTTTTTTTTTTGTAATTCTGTAAAAATATTGTTGTTAATTTGTTATTATTAAAATAATACATAAATATAATATATATATATATAAAATAAAATTTTATTATTTAAAAACAAAACTAAAATTCTTGAATGAAATTTAATCAAACTTATGAAATATGTTAATTTAAAAGTACTTTTAAGAATTTGTCAAAGGTTTAATTTTTCAAACAAAAATATTATTTATTTTTTAAAAAAAAAAAAAACATTTTTAGCCTCCCAACAACAATCAAAGAGGCTCTTAGTCCAACCCAATTTATTTTGTTTTCATTTTTCTGCAAATAAACTTCAAAAAATAAAAAAAATTGTGTCCAATCAAACTGTGTAGTATTTTCTTTATTTTCCTAAATAAGTGATGATTTTAGATAATGAAGAAGATATTAATGATGTTATTTCAAGTTGAAAAACTATAATTGGAAAGTGAAAGTTAAAAAAGAAATGACACACATACCAAATATTAGCCTCAAGTCAAGTAGATTAATCCATAATGTTGAGACTTAAGAGTGTGAATCACGGCCAAAGATAATGACAAAATTTAAATGTTGAATAATACAAGTGCCTGAACATGAAAGTCTTATTTCAAATACAATTTTAAAGAATACTTTGCAAATGAACTAAAACATTCATTTTTTTTTATGTATTTCTGCAGCAGTATAATGTTTTCTTTGTTGTATTCTCTTCATGATAACGTAGACTTTAGCTCTTCAAAAACTCCAATATAAAGAAATGAAATCATGCAAAGAAATTTCTCAAACAAGAATTCAGTTAGCGATCTGAACAGATTTCATTTGCTTAAAAATGTGGTGTATGTCTTTTTGACATCAGCTACTGAAATTACATTCAAAATTGGGACTAGGACAAATAGCCTCCTCTGTCTAAGTTTCAGTAATGTGTGTTGAATAGTGAGTCTCTCCTAACTAGAAAGGTTACTTCTTTACAAAATTGTGAAAGGAAAAGCCTCACCTACTCAAGCGAGAAGTAAGATTAATGAACACATCCTCACTACAGGGAATTGTCACACCGCCCATTGGATGATTGAAGCCAAATTCTTGCTCAGCTTGACTAAGCAAGTCTTGAAATAAAGGTTCGATCAAGAATGAAATGGGGATTACAAATCTCTTCTTTTGCTTCTCCCCCACATAAACAGCAAAATGGCCTTTTGGAACGTCTCCACTTGTAGAAGACTTCTTGATTATACGAGGCATACGGATAGCCATGGTCGTTTAGTTCAATATAGATGAGCAAATAAGGATTGGAAGAATTAGTAAGGAAATCTGAAAGCAGAGTAAGGTTTTTGTATGTTTTCAAGTTTTGGTGAGAGCTGTTGTGTGTTTATATAGACTAATATCAAGTGGTAGAATTCTACTGATGTGCATTGAATAGACATTATGTGGGAAGACAGTAGCACCTGAAGTATCACATGGTTCTGCCTTCCAACTCATTGTCATACTATTTATGCAAACTCTCATGTGTCCACTTATATAAAAACTAGAAGAAAAAACAAATCAATCATATGGTATATTTAACTGGTGGAGTTGTACTGCTGATTGACAATAGCACATGGTTTTGCTACTCAACTCATTGTCATTGCTCTTGAATATCAGCATCCCCTACACCCTAGTGTTTTTCAGGACAAGATAGAGAATAGAATATTTTTTGATAACTTTGAGTCATTGCCAACACAGGTTCTTTTGAGATAATAACAGGTATTTCCCATTAGTAACAAAATTTACTACAATCTTACCATTATGTAGGATCAACTTTCCTGATTAGAATAACCCAAGCTATTTCAAAGATTTTGGGAAATGTTTCCAAATAGTAGAGAATATATATATTTTTTTAACTGGCTATATATTGACATATCTGTGTCTATGTTTTGCAAATCTCCATTAAATTATGAGTCAGTCAAAACCTTATTATTGGCAGAAATATGAGTTCATATTCAAGAAGAGTATAGATGTTATTTCTTATAAAGAGTTAATTAATTTGCATCCGTATTCTATCACATTTAGTTGCACTCAGTACTGACACTATGCATCTCGAGTTATACCTCACCGCCCCTACCAAGTGCAGCTAGCTTCATTTGAAACCATTAAGTGTAATTATCACTTTTACCAATTAAATGAGTTATGCCAATTTAGGGGACCAGATTCTAGTTCATTCTGATCAACAAATGATGAGAGTTCAGCAAAAAAATACTATTGCAATGAATTAATTACATCAATGTATGGAACCATAGAAGCAAAAAGTTTCATTACTTCAATTTCTTTTGAAGTAGAAAAATGTGTCCTAGTCTAGCTAGTGTTTCTTCTAATTAACTCTCAACTTGTACACAGTGGAGATCCTGGCTTCCTACAACTATACAAAATTGTGTAATTAAAAAAATGGGGACTAGTTTCCTTCTCACTTCCTCAATCGAGATGTGAGATCGATGAACATATCCTCACTGCAGGGAATAGTCACACCACCCATTGGATGGTCGAAGCCAAATTCTTCCTCAGATTGACTAAGCAAGTCTTGAAATAAAGGTTCGCTCAAGAATGATATGGGGATCACAAATCTCTTTTTCTGCATCTCCCCAACATAAACAGCAAAATGACCTTTGGGAATATCTCTAGTTGCGGAAGACTTCTTGATCATACGAAGAATAGCCATTATCATTTAGTTCTAGTATAGATAAGAAAAGAAAAGGAATTAGTATTAAGAAACTCAAAAGCAGAGAAAGCTTTGAATACTTTAAAGTTGGCTGAGTGTTGTGGTGGTAGATAACTCTTTGGATATGTTTATATAGGCAATGGCAACTCATACTGATGTGGTGTTGAATAGGAACTTGTGGGCACCAGCAGAAGACAGTGTCACCTGAAGTATCACATGCTCTTGCCTTCCATGTATTGAAAACTTTGTGCTATTAGTTCAAGAACAATAGTCCCTACTTTATCTGATCCATTATAGAAATTTTGAGAAGTCATAAAATCTCATGACTTGTGGTGAAGAGCCATTTGGATTGGACATCAATTAAAGACAATGATATATCAGTACTCACATGGTCCTGCCTTCCAGCTAGTTGACATGAGTAATTGCTTTAGCTCTTATCAGATCAAGTTCTATAGGTCCTACATATATTTTCCTATAGGGAACAAAGGATCTCTAAGAATCAAATCCATAAATATTGTTGGTAGCTTATGATGATTTCTAGGAATAAAGCATACCCCAGATGCAAATTTTGTGTCCACTTACATAAAAACTATAAGACAAAAAAAGTCAATAATATGAAAGATTTCACTGGTGGAGAGGCATTTGTTGCAATATTGATTGACAAAAGCACATGAAGTATCACATGGTTTTTCTTCCCAACTCATTATCTAATATATATGATCTTAGTCATTACTCTTGAATAGAAGCAGACCCCAGTGTTTTTCATGACAAGATACAGAACAGACTATCTTTAGAGATCAAATTGATAAATTTACTGCAATAGCTGACAACTTGTAGGATCAACATTCCGGATTAGAATAACCCGTGTTATTTCATAGATTTCGAAAAGTGTTTTCAAATAGTAGATAACATAAATGTTTATTGGCTATCAACATGTCTATGTTTGCAAATCTCCATCAAATTATGAGTCAATCAAAACCTTACTATTGCCAGAAATTTGAGTCTGTATTCAAGAAAAGTATACATATTATATCTTATTAAGAGTTGATCAATTTACATCCATTTTCTATAGCATTCAGTTAAACTCAGTACTTTCACATTACTGCAGAATAGCAGATCTAGTACATATTGAGTTATCGTACATTGTACCATGGATGCTACCAAGTGCATCTAACTTTATTTGGAACCATTAAGTGTAATATTACCAATAGAATGAATTGTGCCACATTAGAATGAATTGAGCAAACCATGAGAGTTGAGCAAAAAAATTCTATTGCAATGAATTGATTACATCAATGTATGGAAGTAAAAAGTTTCATTACTTCAATTTCTTTTGAAGTAGAAAAATGTCTCCCTTAGTCTACCTAGTGTTTCTTCTAACTCTCAACTGTACACAGTGGAGTTCCTGGCTCACTACAACTATACAAAATTGTGTAACAAAAAAATGGGGACTAGTTTCCTTCTCACTTCCTCAATCGAGATGTGAGATCGATGAACAAATCCTCACTGCAGGGAATAGTCACACCACCCATTGGATGGTCGAAGCCAAATTCTTCCTCAGCTTGACTAAGCAAGTCTTGAAATAAAGGTTCGCTCAAGAATGATATCGGGATTACAAATCTCTTTTTCTGCATCTCCCCTACATACACAGCAAAATGGCCCTTGGGAATATCTCTGGTTGCGGAAGACTTCTTGATCATACGAAGAATAGCCATGATGAATTAGTTTTGGTATAGATAAGAAAGGTAAAAGAATTACAAAGGAACTCAAAAACAGAGAAAGTTTTGATGTTTGCTGAGAGCTGTGGCGGTAGATATCTCTTTGGATATGTTTATATAGGCAATGGCAACTCATACTGATGTGGTGTTGAATAAGAACTTGTGGGCACCAGCAGAAGACAATGTCACTGAAGTGTCACATGCTCTTGCCTTCCATGTATTGAAAACTTTGTGGTATTAGTTAAAGAACAATAGGCCCTACCTTATTTTGAAACTTGGATAGAAGCATTATTCATTATAGAATTTTTGAGAAGCTATGACTTGGAACATGGACCACTAAGATGAAAAACATAACCATATTGGGAAACATAAATTGTCATCAATTAATATCCCAAAACAACAAGTAACATGAGAGAGGTCAAACTCTTCCTATCTTTGTTCAGACTTGAAAGGCTTTAGTTTTCAAGGATAACAGGCCCTACCTTTCCTTTGAACTTAGAGCAAAGTATCCCTCACAATCAAATAGCTAAACAAGTATTGTCTAGGTACACATCAAATTTTTTATCTTTTGATATGTTTTTGTTGTAAGCATTATTCCTGAGATAACAAAAAAAGTTTATATGGCCATAAGTTTCCAATTCCAAGTGCTTCCTAGCATAGGTTTATAACTTTTCATTAATCATTATGGCCCTAATTGCCTGAAAAGAATTTATATATGGAGGCTTAGGAAGTGGTACTAAGATCTTAAAGTTGTTGTTGAGATATTTCAACATCACACTGTCACTTACCATTCTACTTGTCATTAAAATAAATATACAAAGCAGAAGACCATCAATAGGCACCTGATGGATATCATATGGTTTTACCTTCTATGTCCTTTTGGGCACTGCTTATAATTTGTGATCTGTTTGGTGGATAATAGATATAGTCCTACTTTCATGACCATACATAAAAAAAAAAAAAAAAAATTAGGCAAATGACATAGTATAAGAAAGAAATTACTTCCTTTCCCTACTCTTTCATTAATTACCAAAAATCCCTTTTTTAGTGTTTTTCGGATACATAATATAGCAGTGTGGATACTTAATATAGCAACGCGGATACTTTAATTATTAACGGGCGGATACTTAAATTATTAAGTTGTTAGTAGCACGGATACTTAATTAACGGGCGGATGCATAATATAGCAGCGCAGATACTTTAATTAATAACGGGCGGATACTTAAATTATTAAGTTGTTAGCCGCACGGATACTTAATTAACGGACGGATGCATAATATAACAGCGCGGATACTTTAATTAATAACGAGCGGATACTTAAACTAATAAAGTATCCGGTTAAGTTGAATTGGGGGAAAATAAGGGATTTTTGTATTTTAGTAAAAGAGTAGGGAAATATTGAGAATAGGTAAAGAAGTGTTGTGTATTTAAGTAATTTTTCCAAAAAAAAATGAAAAACCAAGTTGAGAAGAGGAAAGTGGATAAAGGTGAATTTTTGCGTCCTGAATGGAAAAGACAGCAAAAAAGACCACAAAAAGAGGCCAACCTGATTGCTTGGCGTAAAATTGGTCTACATTGTAGGCTCTACGACTATTTGAAGTAAGTAAAAAACATAACACATTTGGATTCAATAACTTGCAAACAAACATTATTAGGTACTTCTATATAGGCACTCTCTTAAAGAACCATACAGTAAATACAGTTGTGCTAATCGATGCTTTTAGAAATAGTTTGGCATAGATAAATGCAATGTTTTCTTCTCATATCATAAGTCATTTAATCAGATGATTGGACCAACTTTGCAGATCAGAATTGTCCCGAGTTTTTCAACTGATCGAGAGAAATTCTAATAAGTCATCAAACCAGTATTGATTTTTCAGAAGAGAAGAAAACGAAATGTCTAATGAAGTGTGAAGTTGTGAACTATGAATGTCACTTCTTCGATATTTTGAAATTTCTGCTGCTGATATAAAGTTCATTTTTTCTGTTTGCGCCAAATATATTTCAGTGTTCAGGATAAGGTCACAGATAAGTTTTCTTTAGAGTTAAATTAACATAGACTTCAGCACTTTATAAGCTCCAATTCCCATGTTATGGAAAGAACAGTCCATGTAAGAAATTTGTTAAACAGAAATACTAATTTACCAAATTGGATAATGAATGAGTCTGAACTGATTTCATTTGCTAAACTACTGAAAATTGTATTCAAAATTGGGATCTATAGATCCAGCTGACAGTAGTGAGAAGTTACATGTGTGTTTCCTAATTCATCTTATGTACAAACTGAAAATCCTATTATTTACAAAACTGTGAAAATAAAGCCTCAGATCCTATTCAAGCGAGAAGTAAGATCAACGAACACATCTTCACTGCAGGGTATTGTTACACCACCCATTGGATGATCGAAGCCAAATTCTTCCTCAGCTTGACTAAGCAAGTCTTGAAATAAAGGTTGGTTCAAGAATGAAATGGGGATTACAAATCTCTTCTTTTGCTTCTCCCCAACATAAACAGCAAAGTGGCCTTTAGGAACATCTCCGGTTGTAGAGGACTTCTTGATTATACGAGGCATACGGATAGCCATGGTCTTTTAGTTCAATATAGATGAGGAAATAAGGAAGGGAAGAATTAGTAAGGACTCTGAAAGCAGAGAAAAGCTTTGTATGATTTGAAGTTGTGGTGAGAGCTGTTATGGTAAACCCTTCTTTATATGTGTTTATATAGGCCAATGACAAGTTGTCAAACCCCACTGATGTCTGAATATCCATTTTGTGGACACCAGCTAAAGACAGTAGCACCTGAAGTATCACATGGTTTTGCCTTCCAATTCACTGTCATAGTATTAATACATTGAAAGTAGTCTAAAAGCATAAGGTCCAACTGATGTTCACAACAAATAACAGATAGAAATTTCATCTTCTTAAAAAATGGTTTAGTTGGGGACCACCTCTAGCCACTAGCTTCTTGATGTTAAATCAACAAGTAGAAGTCAGATTCCAATGATTGATCATCATATGCGAATCTATGAGGGCATATCTGAAGATTTTTTTTATAAAACTTGATCATCCATAGTGCTAAAGCAAAGGGATCAGGATACTTAGAGAATGATACTTTTGAGAAAGAAACTGATTATGTAACAAAAATATACTCAAGGTTGAGGATCGAACCATAAACCTCTCAGTAACTGTAAACCATGATTTATTGATATAGTTAGAAAATCTAAATATCTCAATTCAGATTAGCAAGTCATGAGAGTTGAGAAAAAAAATTATATTGCAATGAATTGATTACATTCAATATATGGAATAGAATGGTTGAACCATAGAAGTAAAAAGCTTTATTACTTCAATTTCTTTTGAAGTAGAAAAATGTGTCCTCAGTCTACATAGAGTTTCTTTTAACTCTGAACTGTACATAGTGGAGATCCTGTTTTACAACTACACAAAATTGTCTCACTTCCGCAAGCGAGATGTGAGATCAATGAACAAATCCTCACTGCAGGGAATTGTCACACCACCCATTGGATGGTCGAAGCCGAATTCTTCCTCAGCTTGACTGAGCAATTCTTGAAATAAAGGCTGACTCAAGAATGATACTGGGATCACATATCTCATCTTCTGTTTCTCCCCGACATACACAGCAAATGGCTCTTTGGAACATCTCCAGTTGTAGAAGATTTCTTGATTATACAAGGCATACGAATAACCATGATCTTTTAGTTTTAATACAGATGAGCGAAAAAAGAAAGAGGAGAGCTAATAAAGACCTCAAAAGCAGAACAATCTTTGAATACTTGCTGATAGTGATGAGTTATTTCATGAGGCACCCTCTGCAAGACAATAGCACCTTAAGTAACATGGTTATGCCTTCCAACTAATCGTCAAAGTGATGATATCTTAAGGACAAATTGGTTCAAGATAAAGGCCCTACCTTTTCTCTGAACTTGGAACATAGCATGCCTCACAATGAAATTGCTAAACTATTCATGTCAAATGTAAACTCCTAGACATTACTTGTCATTAACATGGTTTTCTAGTAAGAATTTATTCAAAGTAAAATGGAAGATCAACCACCAGACACCAATAGAACAAAGGAAAAATAGGATAAAATTGAAACTCTTTGCCAATATTGTACAAACAAAACACCTGATCTTAGGATATGCTTAAAAAAACCAACATCTGATGTATTGACTTACAATTTTGACTAATTATGGCAAGTTGCTTGTGTTAGGCTTTGAACAACAAACTTATACAGCAAAGAAAAAGAGAACCAAAAGAAAACTAAATAGGCTAAATAATGAATCTGAACAAATTTCATTTGTTAAAGATTGTGTTGTATATCTTTTAGACATCAGCTACTGAAAATTACATTCAAAATTGGGATCTTCTGTTGCAGCTGACTGTACATGATCCCCTCTATCTAATTATCAGTAATATGGTACTAACTAGAAAGGTTAGCTCTTTACAAAACTGTGAAAATAAAAGCCTCAGATCCTATTCAAGCGAGAAGTAAGATCAACGAACACATCTTCACTGCAGGGTATTGTTACACCACCCATTGGATGATTGAAGCCAAATTCTTCCTCAGCTTGACTAAGCAAGTCTTGAAATAAAGGTTGGCTCAAGAATGAAATGGGGATTACAAATCTCTTCTTCTGCTTTTCCCCAACATAAACAGCAAAGTGGCCTTTAGGAACATCTCCGGTTGTAGAAGACTTCTTGATTATACGAGGCATACGGATAGCCATGGTCGTTTAGTTCAATATAAGATGAGCAAATAAGGATGGGGAGAATTAGTAAAGACTCTGAAAGCAGAGAAAGCTTTGTATGGTTTCAAGTTTTGCTGAGTGTTGTTGCGGTAACCCCTTCTTTATATGTGTTTTTATAGGCCAATGGAAAGTTGTCAAACCCCACTTATGTGTGAATTGCCATTTTGTGGACACCAGGTAAAGACAGTAGCACCTGAAGTATCACATGGTTTTGCCTTCCAACTCATTGTCATAGTATTAATACATTGAAAGTAGTCTAAAAGCATAAGGTCCAACTGATGTTCACAACAAATAACAGATAGAAATTTCATCTTCTTGAAAAACGGTTTAGCTTCTTGATATTAAATCAACAAGTAATAGTCAGATTCCAATGATTGATCAACCACCAGACACCAATAGAACAAAGAAAAGTGGGATGTTCCAGCCTTGCAGATACTGAATTCAATCCTAAATATCAAGAATATCACAATCCTTAAAGGATAAAATATAATTTATGTATGGAGGTTTATGAACTCTTTCCTAAGATTATACAAAGCAAAACACCTGATCTTAAGATGCTTAAAAGAACCAACATCTGATGTACTGACTTACAATTTTGACTAATTATGGGAAGTTGGTTGTGTTAGGCTTTAATTTGTACAACAAACGTAAATAGTAAAGAGAAAGAGAACAAAAAAAAAGGTGCTCTCATTGCATGGTCTAGATTATAACTTACAAACAACTCTATCAGGCAACATGGAATTGAGGTATTTAGATTTTTTTACTTCAAAGTATGTACAACACACAAAAAAAACTATGGGTTTAGTTTCGATGACCTGCAAACAAGCAACATTTGTTACTTACATAAGTCATAACCACTATTTTTAGTAAAACCACCAGAAAATATTTACACAAGTTGACTAGAATAAGGTACATTTTTGTTATCCTCATATCATAAGTTGTTTTCTGATGGTTTAATCAACTTTGCGGATCAGAATTATCTCAAGAAATTCTTATAAAGCAAGCCAGAGATTTGTTTCAAAAAGAGCAGAAAACAATAACATCTATTAATGTCACTTATTTGATATTTCGAAATTTCTGCTGCAGATATATATAAAGTTTTCTTTGTTGTCGTAGCCAAAAGTATTTCAGTGTTCAGGTTAAGGTCACAGATAAGTTGTCTTCTTTAGAGTTAATTAACATAGACGGAATCTTGTAGAGAATACTGAAAACTCAATTGGCTAAAGAATGAATCTGAACAAATTTCATTTGCTAAAGATATATTTTAGACATTCATTTGCTACTGAAAATTACATTCAAAATTGGGATCTACGGTTACAGCTGACAGTACATAGTCCCATCTCTATCTAATTATCAGTTTTAGTTCTTTACAAAATTGTGTAATGTGAAAAGCCTCAGATCCTACTCAAGCGAGAAGTAAGATCAATGAACACATCCTCGCTGCAGGGAATTGTGACACCACCCATTGGATGATTAAAGCCAAATTCTTCCTCTGCTTGGTTAAGTAAATCTTGAAATAAAGGTTGGCTCAAGAATGATATAGGGATCACAAATCTCTTCTTCTGCTTTTCCCCAACATAAACAGCAAAGTGGCCTTTAGGAACATCTCCAGCAGTAGAAGACTTCTTGATTATACGAGGCATACGGATAGCCATGGTTTTATGGTTAGTTCAATATATAGATAAGCAAATAATGATAGTGGAGAAAAGCTTTGTATGATTTCAAGTTTTGGTGAGAGCTGTTATGGTAAACACTTGTTTTTATAGGTCAAGAACATGTATTGAATAGGTACCAGCTAAAGATAGTCACATGGTTTTGCCTTCCAACTAGTTAGAATATGGAATTAGTCCAAAAGCAGAAGGTCCCACTACAAAGAACAGATCAATGAAACCTCATTTTCTTGAAATGGTAAGAGTTAGGGTTAGGGGCCACCTCTTCATGTTGAATCAACAACTTGTTTTCAACATTCCAATGATTGATCAGATATGCGAATATATCCTGAGAACTATAGCAGCCATAGTGCTAAGTCATCTAATACAAGTTATGGTTCCAATTGATGCTGCAGTCGAAGACTTTTAAACTACTTATAAAATTGTCTGATTAGGATGAATATTATTGCAAGTAATAGAGAATTGGATAATGTTAAAATATTTTTCCAGTCTCATTTTAAAATAAGGTGATAGGACCTGCAATGTTTTTTCTGGTCAAAGACGAACGCCACCAACCAGTGTCTACTTGTGTGACCCTCAGAACTCATTTTGTAGGAAACAATCAAGAGAAGCTTATCTCTCATGAGTTGACTTTCACATGGAATCCAAATTCAAGTTGGTGTTGCAGCTGAGTAGCTATAAAATGGTCAAATTAGGCTTATTTGAATAATAGAGATTTGGATAAGTTGGAATATTTCTCCAAGTTTCATTAATTATCGATAAGAAGGTCACTTAAGTCAAAGAAGAACAGAACCGAACCAACCAGTGCATTTCTACTTGTGTTGAACATGTGTGGACCTCAGCACTAATGTTGTAGGAAACAACCAAGAGAAGATAGGCCTGAAGAATATTTAAAAAATAAAATAAAATATCTCTAATGTGTAGGGCAATTGTGATTATAAACAGTGCACCTTGAATCGATCAGATTACGTAAATGGAATAATGAGATAAAGAGATAATGAGCATTAAAAAATGATCACAAAAACGATATAAATTTCTCTTACAGGGTCACCATCTTTGGCCATTGCTGTCATACCAAACCTAGTGAACAAGTGTTTCGCATACTAGCTGAATTGGCTCTCTGATACATAAAATTCTCCAAGGCTAAACGTATACAATGACAATTAAGCAGACATCTAGGCTACTTTACATGGCAAAAATGATTCTGCATAGTGAAATACGAGTTCATAGTCAACATGCCACTGTTTACTCCTGGAGTCTAAATTTGCAATGAACTGGAAGTCACTACTAATGAAACAGCAAAGAATCCTCTCACCTATTTCAGTGAATTGCCAATGAAACAACACTGTCCAGAGATATACTATAAACAATGAACTAACAATCATCGGGTTCCAGCTGACCAATTGTGCTTCACTGAAGAAATCATAATTACTTCTGTGCATTTTGGCTCCAGACATCTGGTGAACCATTGCAAAGGTAAAACCTGACAGCCCACCCAAATTTTGACCTTCTCTAGTCCAGAATAGAAGCCCTTCTTTGTTGGCTTGACTCCTCTAATATTACCTGGGCACCATCAATCTCATAACTCAAATGATCTTTACCAACATCATCGCCCAAAATAGGGGCTCACTGTACTACAGTCATTACAAGCAAGAGGTGAGTTGCCTATAGATAGTATGGCTTAAGGAATAACTACTTCGGTACCACATTAAGGTTATTTAAGATACTCATAAACAAGATAAAACAAATGCAGCAAACTAAGCAATTGATTGTACTTATATACCTGACTTAGAATGTTGAGCAGAGGGCTTAAACTACCCTTGTTGAAAGAATCCTCTCTAGCTTGTTTTTGCTTTAGCAGGATCACGACCAAACTGAATGACAATAGGCTTGCCTTTAAACACATACCCGTTCACCAGATTCTGCAATCATTCACTTGTATTAAATGTTATTACAAGTATAGTAAAGTACTATAATATTAGCTACTTTCTAGAAGTTGTGTATGTTCAATATAAAATTATAAGTAAATGATAAAATGATTTCCCTTTCATCTATATAGTACATAATCCAACTTGAGGAACTAAACCATATACATGAATACACTCATGTTATACAACCCACTGGAAATTTAACACAAGTTCACGATTACATGTAGAAGGTTTATCACCTCTCAGACTTCATTTATTTTTTGGAAGAGGTCAACAATAAAGCTTACTATCACTTTCATGGTGTTAATTTTACAATTCCACTGCGCAAAAGGAAAACAAAATACCAATTTAAGTAATTATAAATAACATACCAGGGCATTTTGAGCAAGTTCAGCGGAGGGAAATGTAACAAAAGCTTGTCCGCGCATTCTCCCTTCCTGAAAATGGAAGTCGTATAAGCTTCAGCATTAAATCATGAATAAATACCAATTTACCAATGGAAAGGAAGTACAGATTACTTATTTTATGTCACATGATTAAAAGTCTCTTGTCAACATTTTTAATGCAGCAAGTGAACTTTGCAGTTTGGATCAGGTAAGAAATAGATCAACAAAATGCCACTAAAAAAAGAAAGTGAAACTTGTAGTTAAATATATAAGTTGATTACCAATTGATTTTTTCAGGTTGATGAACTATATCCCAAATTAGCTTACTCATCAACTAAAAAAAAACTATATCCCAAATTAGCAGAACTAGAGAAATAGATGAACCTCACCTGCATTAACTTCACTGCAAGACTGGATTTAGCTTCATCAATGCTTACAAATAAGGATCCTAAAGAACATAACAGATGAGAAGCAATGCAATGGTTCTAGTGCCAAAACATGAGGTTATGTATAAGTAAAATATTTCTGTTTAAGTAACTTCATGCTATCTATCTTTTTTCTTAAAGCAGGTGAGGTATTGAAAACTACAAGGAAGTCTCAGAAAAAATCAGAAAGGAGTTTTACTTTGCAATGGATCTGTAAGTTAATGCTTACCAAATATGAAGTAAATATCATCAACAATCACTTCTTTTGCTAAGTTCTTCAAGTATAAGATCTGAGAAGGATTTCCAGCACAATAATTCTGCATCGAACAAAACTTATGAGTTAATTATTCAGTCCTTTGCTTTCATTAATAGGCAATAGCTCAACATAGAAGGAAATCCCTTTCGTGCTTGTACAGGGAATGTCCTCCTTGGTGATGTAGACTTACTGCTTAGCTTTCTCCCCATTAATATAACTTTTGATTTACTGATAAAGAAATGAACTAGAATAGCATAATTTATAGACTGGAAAGATGCAATCTTAATGAACTTCTATAGCAACTACTTGTCAGCTTAAGTACACTAAGCAAACACCTTTCAATCAATAAACCAGTGACTACATCTCAAAATGGAAGGCTAAGAAGCAAAAAACTATTAGAAAAAGTAAGCTGTCTGCAGCATGAACCTATCTCATAATCTCATAAACCAACTCTCAAGCAATTCTGAAATAATTAAGCAATTCTGGAATAGATTAGCAATAAGTTGGTGACTTGAATTTTCTGAAATAAATAAGAACTGAAAGAATTCTTTTCCTAGTTGTTGGTTCATGAATTCTTCAGGGCAAAAACGGAATCCTTCATGGGGTAGGATCAAATAGATATTATAGTCGATATTTGATAATGCTACCAATTCATTATAGTCCAGACAAAAAGGAATGTCTGCGCTAGTATTGTTGTTTATGAGTTGTTCATCAAGGCACAATTGTTACACTCTATAAGATACCAAAATAACGTAAAAATGTATCTTGTCCATATTCATCATTGTTCAACACCCTCAAGAACAGCATTTTAATTTAATCCTTAACTTCTGTACAGTTTAAATATTAGCTAACCCTGCAATGTTCAAACTCAATGCCATAGGTTAAAGATCCAGAGCCCAGGTATGAAATTGATTTAGATGCAAACTTTCTGCAATTTAATAAAACTATGTGTTAATAAATGATAATTACCTATATTGTACATATAGCATACAAGGTACGTCTCTGTCCTGAACTGTTTGGAAATTACAAGTATGCACTCATGTCCACATCCAACTTTTGATGACAGCACAACATGATTGGAACATGTATTTGTAAGTTATAAAAGTCTAAGTTGCTCGGACTCTCCAAAAATGTTGCCACACCCGTGTCGGATCCTTCAAAAATACACTATTTTTGGAGGATCCAACACGCGCTCGTCGACATTTTTGAAGAGTCTGAGCAACATAGATAAAAGTTATACACGTCTGAATCCACATTAATGACCAGCACCAGCCCATGCTCAACACAAATTACTAACCTACCAAGGCTGGCCCCTGAAAAAACTTTGGCATGCTCAACGCTACCATCCGAGAATACCTGCTTAAAGAAATCACCTCTTCTATCTTGTTCCAAGGATTGTAGCAAACCTAATAAACCTAAGTCATTCTGTTAAAAGGCCTTGCCCTCGATACCTCCACCTCCTTTAGCTCTTACAAATCAACTAAAACAACATCAACCGAAACATGAATAGCCAGGTGACAGGATTCCAAGCCTAATACTCAAAAGAGCAACTGCAAATTTAATGTGAAAGCAAGTGTATCATGGGCAAAAGTAAAGACGCGCAAAGTTCCAATACCTTAAACATAGGAAGCGACAGTATCTCTTCTGGGGGCAATCTTCCACTTTTTAATTCTTCAAGGGTCGTAAAAGGTTTATGATCATTCTCTTTTTCTTCCACTGTCAATGACAGTGCACTTGCATCACCCTTCTCTTCATTCTGTACCTGTTTAGATGCTACTTTAATCTGCAAGCAAGCAAGCGAAAACTTAGTATCATCAACTTCAACAAAGAACAACAGAGAGGGAGGAGCCTTTTGGAGATGAGATAACCTGAATTATTGGGTTCTTCTTCTTAACTACTGGCATCTCTTTAGGAACCAAGGCAGCAGCTCTTAATCCAACAGCCTCATGGGCAACATCCTTGTCAACTGCAGGGCCCAAGATAGCTTCATGTCTAATACGCTTCTTTTTAGGCCCACCAACATTTGTAGCTTCCTGAACCATTAATTATTACAAAAACCATTAGAATCAGCCAACAGTTTACTCTAATAGCAAAACATAATAAATCATGGTAAAAAATGACAGAAAACATGAGGAACATAAAGATAGAAAGAATTAAACCAGAGAAATAGAACATTAAAATTTGAGTCAGCTACCCAATATGCTTGAGGTTTATAACGTATATTTAAAGTGCCAGATAACTGCATTCGTCAAACTCAATTCAGAAGGCAAAAGGATCTCTAACAGCATAGGAACTACTACCTCATCTGAAGACTCCATTTCTGATTCACTGCTTGATAGATCTTCCATTCTACTCTTAGAGACTGTTGGAGGAGGTGGAGGAGGGGGTGGCGGAGGAACAGACAGAGAGGTTGGTAGAGGTGGAGTTGGCAAAGCCATACGAAATGGTGCTGGAATATTCATCTTGTTCATCAAGTGCAAGACCTAAACCATGTCAAAATATGGGTATAAAAAGATGTAAATTAGACGATCTAAAAAAAGATGTAAAATAGAATAATACACATGAATAGCAAGGAAATGAGAAAATTAATTCGAGAAGAAGAAAGGAGATGGTAAATTGTGAAAAGAAAACCTGAGTGTAGAACCGAGGAACAGCAATAAGAGCATTTACAATATTTGTAAGTATATGTCCATCAGGTGGAGGGTAAACATATCTGAATCACAAGCAGGACAGTCAGCTTTATGAAGAATAAATAGAAGCTGGTTCTGTTTATGATTACTGAAAGAACAATATAGAGACCTATAAAGCATTAGATCAAGCAGATAGAATGTCTAAATCCTCTTAGTTCTTTGTTCTTTCTCCTTTGCTAGTTTTCTCTGCATATATGCCAAAAGGACCAGGAATAGAGACTATAATTTACAGGTCAAACAGACTGGCATGCCTACAGACGCAAGAAATATTTGCATACAGAGAAAGATTCAAGTCATCTATGACTTCAAGGAAAATCATGAGAAATGTTGTAAGTTTTAGGTTAGGTCAGAGAATGAGGAGCTACTTCTAGCCACTTATCCACCAAATTAAGATAGAAAAATGAAAAAAGATTTTAAAACTAAGCAGCTGAAATCATACTCGAGGTGAGGAGGAAATGGATAATCTACCCCAAGTCTATTAGCAATGGGTTCGCTGCCAGGATAAGGACCTTCCCTAGATACTCCACCAAATTCTTTAGCAGCAGCAGCATCTTTTATCAAAGAGACAGAGCCATCTCCAATCCGATGTTCCCTTTGTCTATCTGTGCTTCTAGTCGCTCGTTCCACCGCTAGGATTTTACCAAGAAACCGTACCCTAACAACCACATAATTTGGCAATCAGACTTTCTTACTCTCTTAAGATAAACAAAAATAAGAGGAAGGCATTTAAATATGTCTACCTAAAATGATCGAGAATTGAGGACACTTAGAAAAGATTCAAAGGAGAAAATACCCATTCAAATGTTGCTGTGCTTGGTGTGCCAGACCTTCATCCTTGAAATCCACGAAAGCACAATTCCTCATTCTGTCCAGGACAAATAAGATACAAATAACCGATAAAAGTGTCATAAAGGCCAGTTGAGTTACGTACTAACGAGAGACATGAAAAAAACATTGGAACCAACACTTGATGGTATCAAATATCTGTTATCCTACCCTTACAAGGAAAGAATACCATATAAAATGAATAGGAGTATCAAAGACAAGCATACCTACACAGTTTGAGTATAAGATGACAGAACTACTTGAGTTAACTATAAAGAGAAAAGAAGTTTGGCAATCACAAAAAGAGAGGGATCAGAAACACATTATCATTTCAGGAAACCGCACAATCTCATGAATTCACCTAAACTTTACATTTTAGAAAGACCATAAAGGTTAAAAAAAAAAAAACATTAGTACAGAAAACTTATCTCTGAAACTGTTCACCAAAACAAAATGGTTACTGTGGAGACATACTTTTTAGGTTCTATTAATTGCAAGTAAAAAAGAAAATCAATGGGTTATCAAGCCTAGTCCCGCAATTCATATCCTAACAGGAAAGTTGATTAGGAAGAAAAGTGACCTTAGACTAGTGGTTAACATTGAGGTGCTTAAGATTAATAATCTCTAAATTTAGACCGCTGAAATTGTGGATATGAGTCCAAAAATACTACCAAATTCCCATTGCTTTTCAAGAAAATATAAGTTGCACCAACAAATGAGCCATTAAGAAACACAAGATTGCCAACATTCTAAGCTATTTTTAAAAGAGCAGTAAAATTGAGAAAGATGGAATCATACCTGCCACTAGTACAAGGACGGATAGAAGTTGCCCCATAATTGGAAAGCAATCTTGAAAGGGTTTCATGAGGAATTGCTTCTGGAAGATGCCGAATCAAGAGGGTAGACTCTTTAACTTCCTCCATCGGCCAATGATAAGCAGGCTGAGGAACAGGATTTCCAGTCATGTAATCCATTATAGTTCCTTGTACTGTATAATTTTGCTCGACAGATCACAAGACTTCCAGATGCTGCACCACACACACAAAAATTGAAAATTGAGAATTTGACCTACAAAAGAGAGTGAAGAAGTGGGTTGGCATCAAAGCCAAGATTCTTTAAAGGGAATGAAAGGAGGAGGAGATACCATACCGCACCTGTGTGTAGCGAGACCGGAGAGCGCTCAGAAAATACGCCGAGTATATATAGTAATATCTATATCTATATCTATATCTATTCTGTATCTATATCTTCTATATTACTTAAAAGCATTAACTGCTAAGTTAAATGTTAAATTACTATAATATTTCTAATTTAGATTGTTTTTTTATGAGTTGTGACTTTATTGATAAGTTGTAATTTTTTAATGAGTTGTAACTTTTTCAATAAATTATGACTTTTCCATAGGATTGTGACTTCTTGGAAAGGTAAATTTTTCGATGAGTTGTGACTTTTCCGTTAAATTGTGACTTTTTTCAAAGGATTGTGATTTTTCGGTGAGTTGTGACTTTTTCAAAGGGTTGTGGACTTTTCGAAAAGGTCATGACTTTTTCAGATAAGACACAAAAAACACTTGTTCATACTACCCTTTGTTGACTATAAATAGAGAGACTTCCTCTCATTTTTCAACCACAATTTTTTTAATCTCCTACTCTTTTTCTTGCATTTTAAAATTTTTTGTGTGATTTATTGTCATTGAGTGAGTTCGAAGTTTAGCGGAACATGAGGTACCACTATACTGATGAAGTAAATTGTTCTATCCTATGAGGGTACATTTCATAACCTTGAGTACTTGAAGAAAATAATTTTGATGATATAATAATTGTTTTTTTTGCTTAATATATACATTAGTATGTTGTGTTTCAATATATATACAGTTAACATGATGTAATCTAAATTCATTTATTTTTGTTAACAATTTCTCTTATGATGTAAATATATGCTTCTGAACATTTTTTTTTTAAAAAAAAATTACTAAACTTCTCAAGAGTGAAAATATGTGAATATATATGAATCATTTAAAAATTTATCAATTACAAAATAAATTTTATATTCAGTAATATGGAATAAACATTTTCATTTTGTCCCCACACTAAATTAAAATCTAATAACTATAAGAAAAAATAGTAACATTAATTAAAAGTCCTATTTATTTATGTAAGTATAAAATTTGTTAGAAAAACATTTATTGCACATTAATCCTTTAGTTATAACATTATAAATTCTCTTAGTTATTACTAATTATTATAAACGCTATTCACACTCTTTAACATTCTTTAGTTATAATATTATGATTTATGAAGTCTCATAGTTATTACATTAATTATTTCTATCTTTCATCTTTTCTTGTATTAACTTTTGACCAATAATTTTTCATATTATTATACCGCCCAATATGTGTGATAACACGATGTTGTTATTTTTCCTGGGATGAATCGTTCTTGATTGAATAAATTAAAAATTGTTTACAAGTATATGAACTACATCTTTGTTTGTGTAAGATAAACATGTGATTATATATATGATTTCACAAATAGAATATATATTCTTTAATTTTATTTTTTAGTTTTTTCGGTAATAAAAAGGAAATATTTCTCAGTTAACTATGGACAGTCAAATAACTATCTTGGATTTATGTATACAATCAATCGAAAAGTGAAATATGAGAGCCAACAACAAGAACGTCATCTATTATGTTATAACTTATAAAATAAAAACTAATATACAAAGATTAGTTCTAAAAAATAAAATGTAGTTGTTCTCTTCACATACATGTTCATATGACATATAAACAGTTTAATGTGGATACACGTGCAAAGCACATTTGGTTAGATGACAAGAAAAATACACAACAAATATCATTTATAAGGTAATATTACTGAGATGCAACTAATTACATGATTGAACCTCATCAAATTTAAATAAATATATGCATTATTGCATTTAACTAATAAAATTTTTCATTGACCAACTTCATAGATTCGCGTGAATAAGAGATATATATGACAATCCACATTGAACATTCACAAAAGAATATGTAATATTATTTTATGCAAAGCTTATTATTCAAATCTTCACTTAAATAAGCAAATACTAATTACTATAACACATATTTTCTGAATTGGTAATCACGTGCAACGCACGTGTCGAAAAAACTAGTTACCTTAAAAGCATGAACTCCTAACTTGAATGTTAAATTACTATAATATCCCTAACTTAAATTGTGACTTTTTCGATAAGTTGTGACTTTTTTCGAAGGGTTGTGATTTTTTGATGAGTTGTGATTTTTCCAAAGAGTTGTGACTTTTTCAATAAGTTGTGACTTTTCCAAAGGGTTTCATTTCTCGGAAAGGTCATGACTTTTCAGATAAGACACAAAAAACACTTGTTCATACTACCATTTGTTGACTATAAATAGAGGGCCTTCCTCTCATTTTCCATCACAATTTTTTTTAATCTTCTACTCCTCTTCTTCTTGCATTTTAAAATAATTCGTGTGATTTATTATCGTTGAGTGAGTTCGAAGTTTAGCAATATGAGGTACCACTATTCTGATGAAGTAAATCATTCTATCCTAAGATGGTATATTTCATAATCTCGAGTACTTGAGGTAAATAATTTTGATGATATAATAATTATTTTTTTGCTTAATATATACATTAGTATGTAATGTTCCAATATATGAAGTTAACATAATGTAATCTAAATTTATTTATTTTTGCTAACAATTTATCTTGTGATATAAATATATGATTTTGAACATCTTTTTTCAAAATTATTAAATTTCTCAAGGCCTAGAGAATTGTCACAATTTGGTTTTTGATGTTCAAGATGAAAAATGACTTTATTTATCAATGATACATATGTGATTCAGAATGTTAGGAAGTTTGCTTCAAAATAGTTATTACTATATAAACATTTTCCTTTTGTTTTACTTATTTACTATTTCTTAATATTTCAGTATTTTAAACGAAGAAAAGATTATATGACTTGTAATAATGTCATATATATTTTATTTAAATTAAAGTATTATATATGTCACGAATGTATTATCAAGTTAACAAGATCTTCTAACTTTAAAATATATTATTTTAAATTGTTCCGAGTTCTTTTTTTTTAAAAAAAAACTCACAACAAATGTGAAAATATGTGAATATATATGAATTATTTAAAATGTATCATTTACAAAATAAATTTTATATTCAGTAATATAGAATAAACAATTTCATTTTGTCCATACACTAAATTAAAATCTAACAATTTCAAAATAGTTATTACTATATAAACATTTCCCTTTTGTTTTACTTATTTACTATTTCTTAATATTTCAGTATTTTAAACGAAGAAAAGATTATATGACTTGTAATAATGTCATATATATTTTATTTAAATTAAAGTATTATATATGTCACGAATGTATTATCAAGTTAACAAGATCTTCTAACTTTTAAATATATTATTTTAAATTGTTCCGAGTTCTTTTTTTAAAAAAAAAAACTCACAACAAATGTGAAAATATGTGAATATATATGAATTATTTAAAATGTATCATTTACAAAATAAATTTTATATTTAGTAATATAGAAACAATTTCATTTTGTCCATACACTAAATTAAAATCTAATAACTACAAACAAAAAAAAAGTAACATTAATTTAAAGTCCTATTATTTATGTAAGTATACATATTTTTTTGAAATACAACTATTGCACATTAATTCTTAAATTATAACATTATAAATTCTATTAGTTATTACTATATATTGCAAACGTTATTCACACACTTTAACATCTTTAGTTATAATATTATGAATTATCATAGTCATTACATTAATTATTTCTATCTTTTATCTTTTCTTACAATAACTTTTGACCAATAATTTTTCATAATATTATACCGCTCCTATATATGTGATAACACAATGTTGTTATTTTTCCTTGGACGAATCATGTTTGGTTGAATAAATTGAAAATCATTCACAAGTATATGAACCATATCTTTGTTGTGGGTAAGATAAACAGGTGATTATATATATGATTTCACAGATAGAATATATTTTTAAATTTTAATTTTTAGTTTTATCGGTAAAAAAAAACCTTTCTCAGTTATCTATTGACAGTCAGATAACTATCTTTGATTTATGCAACAGTCAATCAAGAAGTCAAATATGAGAGCCAACAACAAGAACATCATCTATTATGTTATAACTTATAAAATAAAAATTAATATACAAAAATTAGTTCTAAAAAATAATATGTAGTTATTCTCTTCACATATTCAGATGACATCTAAACAGTTTAACGTGGAATACACGTGCAAAACACATCTGATTAGATTACAAGAAAAATACGCAAAACTATCGTCTATAAGGTTATATTACAAAGATACGACTAATAACATGATTGAACCTTATCAAATTGAAATAAATATATGCATTATTGCATTTAACTAATAATTTTTTTCATTGACCATCTTCATAGGTCCGCGTGAATAAGAGATATATATGATGATCCACATTGAACATTCACAAAAGAATCTGTAATATTATTTTATGCAAAACTTATTATTCAAGTCTTCGCTTAAATAAGCAATATTATTTACTATAACATATATTTTCTAAATTAATGATCACGTGAAACAATTAATTAAGTGGAGAACATATAGCTTTGTAAATACTTTATTATGTGATTTTATAATTTTTTGTTTATTTGATAAGATTGATAAACAATTAGGCTATTTTAATAGTTTTACAACTTATAGGATTCTTATGTTTATGAGAAAATATACAACACAAAAATTTCATCCAAACAAAACTTCAACTTCATCTCATGATTCCATATTATAATATCATATCATGATTTCATATCGCATGGCCAAACGGGCCCTTAATGTTGAGGGTAAAACATGAAAAAAATTGTCTTTTCTTGATATGTCAAAAGTGACAACTAAAAATGAAAATTTATTTTAGGAATAAGTGACAAGTAAAAGTGAACGAAGGAAGTATTATTTTCTTAAAGTATGTATCAAATCCAAATATGACAAATAAACGTGAACAAAAAAAAGTAATTGTTTGGATTAAGGGCTCCATCATAATTTGCTTAAGTTTGAATTTATATTATCAGCGATCGATATAGATAATGAACATAAAAAGTTGATTGTCTGCTAATCTAAGCATCCCCAAACTAATACCTGTACCTACATAAATCTTTTGTATATTCAACTCCGCGTATATACGAATTATTGGAGTAACAAACAATTAGTTGTGCTTTGACGTTTCCTAATTACTTAAACAATACTGAAAGTACACTAATCAATTATCACAGGATCTGTGATACACAAATCTAAAAATTGTAGACAAATAATTTTATAGTTATTTTTTATTTCTTAATTTGTCTAATTTATTTTAATTTGGATCAATCATGTTTTAATAATGGCTTCGTAAGATTGTCTACAATTCTTTGAGATATTTTATTAAACATTTAAAGCCAAAACTAATTAGATTATTAAAGAATTAAAAAATTATTAGTATTTAACTTTGAATATGTTCTAAAGGTAACAATAATCACTGTAATATTGATTTTGTAATTAAAAGTATTACGAAATATTATATAACTAAAAGATGATAATCTAATTGGAATATTCAATGAAGTGAAGTCCTAAATTTTATTTTTAAATACATTTAGAATAATTTTGAAAGTTTAGGTAACAATTGACTATATTGAAAAAGTTTTTAAAATTATAATCAATAAGGAGAGTTTTAAACAATTGTATTGTTAGATAACAAACAATAATTTATATAAGTTTATTCTAATTATTAAATTAAAATTAGTTACCATATATTTTAAGCATTTATGAGGATAAAATATATTAAAAACTAAATAAACATAACACTCTTTTCCAAATTTTGGTTTATATTCTTGACCTAATGTTTGAGGGGAGGTCAAATGCATCTATCAAAGTTCTCCAAATTGAAGATCAATTTTCAAATGTCACTTTCAACGAGAACAACATACACACAATGTAATTTCATGCAATTTCACAAGTGAGGAAATCAAAGATTTTCAAAATATAAATATATTTACTATTAAAACAGAAATGTTAAGATAAAACCAGTATCAAGTAATAATATTCTAATGACACCAGAGAACAATTCAATTCTTGTTCAAAAATAAAAAATCGCTATCGCAATTAATCATGATGATGAAATGATAACTCATAGAATTTTCTAAACATCTGGGCTGGTATGCATTATGAACTTTTTATAAGAATAATTACAATTTAACGTAGATAAAACCCAAAATTCTTAGCAGATAAGATCGATTCTAACGCAAATTTGAACTTAAAAGGAATGAAAGAAGAAGATATGATAGTTCCCAGACTGGTGAGAGAAATGTGGTATATAATATTATATTTTACCTGTATTAATGTGTTGAGCTAATAAATATAATTTTTTTAAAAGTAAATATCTAAAACCCCTAAATTAGTTTTGTCAAATTGAACAAATCATGGGTTGTTGTTATATCATTGAATGAGTATTGAATTATACTTTTTTTTTTCCCTTCAAATACTTGTCATGTTTCTTTCTGTTCTTTGTAAGAGTTAATTTGGCCGAATTTCAAATTTAAATTAAACTAGATAATTTAATATTTTAAAATTTATATGCTCAAAAATTATATAAAAAATATTATAAATTATAATTATTTTTACATTAAATATGATGAAAAAATATTTATCAAAATTTACATGACCCTACAAAATGAAATGTGAGACATGAAAATGCCATCACTCTCTTTATAGCGTGTACAAGATAAATTCGTATGACATTTACATTACTTTTTAAAAATTAATTTTCTTTTCTTTTCTTCCGGTAGACTCAGATAAAAAGACGTAACCTTTTAACATGTCCAACATTTTATATTAACTATATGTTTAATGTTCAAACTTCAATTGGGTTTATTATTATTGATGAGTAAATTTTATTTTAATTTGCAATTTTTTTTAAAAAAATTCTTGGATAGGGAATGGAAAAAATGGAGAGAGATTTTAAGGTCGGAAATCTAATCTTCACGGATAAGGTGAAAGTTCATGTATCAATCAATTGAGCTATCAAGATTTTCTATGTAAATACAAGATTCAGATAAAATTTACTGAATTTCCAAAAACTCACTTCATATACACTCGATCCTCCCCTACTCATGAAATGTATTATCCATTTTGGCCAATAAGCCTTGCAAATTTGTCTTGGTTATGTCATCATCGAACCTAAAAGCATATATCATATGAATTTATGTTATTATAAAGCTATTCATTTTCCACTTTTATTTTGATGTGTTATTCGTTCTAAGGTACAACACTTCCTCTCTTTTGTGGAAGCTTGTCAGTCTAGAAGTCTGTCAATCTCTTTTTTGGCCAAGTACTCTTGTGAGTTCACCCTCTTATATAACGTGAAGTCATTATCTAAAGGCTAACAATAACTTCTTTTTTAATCCAAATTCGTGCATATTGAACTATAGGTATGAACTATGAAGTGTTAAATAATTTGGATCACAATATTGAAATATAAATCTATGGAACAAATTATTGAGCACTGAGTAATTAGGAAGGAAATGAAAACGAAACACATTTACGATTACTTTAAGAGAGATAATTTATTTAGAGTAACAAACAATAAGTTGTGCTTTGACGTTTCGTATTACTTAAAACAATACTGAAAGTACGTACACTAATCAATTATCAAACAGGATCTGTGAAACAGCAAATTCAACTCCAAAAAAAAAAAAAAAAGACTGTTAATTAGTTTCAGCTAGCATATACATAATCAGATGATTAAGCACCAAAATTTTAGAAGAGCTTTCCAAAACAAATAGAGTAAACAATTGATTGCAATGCTTTGTCTATGTATAAAAATTAAGTTTACATCTCTTGTGTTGCAAGAGGAAAAAAATATTAAAATCAGAGAGAGAATTCAAAATCTTATAAGCTCTAGCTATCTGTAGAATAATACTACAATTCATATCATAAACAATTGTTCAATCGAGAAGTGACATGAAAAAATGCATCTTCGTTGCAGGGTATTGTGAGAGCGCCCATTGGATGTTGAAACCCGAATTCTTCCTCTGCTTTCTGAAGCAATTCTTGGAACGAAGTGTGATTTAAGTATGCAATTGGAATTACGTATCGTTTCTTCTCTGTTTCTCCAACGTAAACTGCAAAATGTCCTTTTGGTACATCTGATATTTGATTTCGAGTAACAACAGATTGCAATTTGTGGAATTGCTTCACACCAGAAATCATAGATAGCAAACGAATGGCCATGTTTTTAGATATTGAAAGTAGATTAACTTTGGTGTTTTGATTGAAGTGAGTGAACAGGATGTTGTGAAGTTTGGAGTTTTGGAAAAGTTAGTATGTATTTATATAAGCAAGGTTACATGTTTTGCCACCGAAAATCAGCTGTTATTATGGACTATGGGTCCCCCCTATCTCACATGGCTATGCTAATATTATAAGCTCAATTAAGAATAGCCAATTACTCTGACTGAATATATCAATCAGTCAGAGGTGGCTAATTATTTGTAAAGTGTATGATGCCTTGGAAATAGAGTAACAACAGATGCATGTGAATTTTAGCTTCTTCTATGCACAAACTCTGGAAAAGGTTATTAGTAAATGTTTAAATTACTTAGGTAATAACATCAAGGGTCCATAGCTCAGTGGTAGAGCATTTGACTGCAGATCAAGAGGTCACCGGTTCGAACCCGGTTGGGCCCTTCATTTCTTTTTTAGTAGTAGATTTATATATGAATAAAAATTATTGTGTCTAGGCGGATTCTTTAAAACTGATTCGCCTCAAGATACAGTGGACAGTTTGTGCCAAAACAACAACATCTTGGCCCCTAAAGTATTGATGTTGCCTTCTCTAAGTAATTATCGATAACAATGTGTATTCTAAAATTGAACTAAAATATCATATAATAATATAAGTTAATTTAAATATCATATAATTGATATTTGACTTTTAAAAAAATTGCAAGACAAAATTTAAGAATTTGAATAACATGCCCATAATTGGATATCAAGTTATTCAAATTTCTTATTTTTATGCTTAGCATTATCATAATTATAGAACTTTTCTTAGTTCTATTTCATATTAATCTAACGATTAAATTTTCTGATATCTTTATTATTCTAATAAGAGGATAGTACGGATAGGATAAGAGGATTTATGATTTTAAATAATTTAAATGATGCTAAAAATTATAATTGTCAAATTTAGACAATGGATCATAAATATTATACTATAAGGCTAAATGTTAACATCCTCTCAAATACACTTTTAATAACTTGTATAACATAATCACGAGTTAATGTTACATTCCAGTTAACTAACTAGTCAGAAATATATATTTATATATGTATAATTTTCTTGAGTAACAAATTATATGAAAGTAGTCAACAGGATTCCGATCCTAAATTATGATAGACTAAACAAACCAATGATTATTTCTTAAAATATTGATGAACTAATTAATGGACCAGATCCAATTAGTAGCTGTATATATATATTATTTATTCAAGCATTAAGTTTCTACGAAAAATTCACCCAAAGGGAATATACAGAAAGGTCAAAGCACAATATACTTATAATCGAAAGAGGAACGAGCAGTATGTAGACTTTCTAATTGAAGGATGAATTAATGCATAAATCTTGTTACTTATCAAAATCTTTAGAGAATCTGTGGCACAGATCTCATAAATTAAAAAATTTAACAAAATCAGAGTTGACTTGGTAGAATTAAGTAATATTCAGTTCATTTAAATGAAACTGAGCTGAAATTATTAATTTGTTAATGTGGAGAAACTCAACTTGCAGCACCGTACTTTTAAATTAGGCTAGATGAACATTAATATATACATTTCACTGTAAATATTCCTTGCACATAAAGAAATAGAACATGCACCAACTCTTGCCCCTAAATAATTCCGTCAAAGATTCATCTCACCAATTGACTAAGGAGTTACTCACTCCATTCCATATTAATTGAATTGTTGAGATATTTTTCATTTTTCAAATTAACTTAATTGTTCAGTTTTCAAGACTGCATTTAGAGTGTTTTTCCAATTTTACCCTTCATTAGTTAGTATTAGAATTAGAATTAGTGATTAATTAATATTTAGTTATTTTAATCATAAATTTAACAATAATTAATAAGGGTAAAAATGGAAAACTATGTTCAATTTATGTCTTAATCTACTTTTCTTAAAGGGTGTGAAACACCTCAAAAATTCAATTAATATGGAATGGATGGAGTATAATAAATGGTGAATTAATTACTACTTTCATGCTATTATTTTTCCGTTTTAATTAGTTTGGGTTAACTTAACTCGGATGAAATTTAAGAAACTAAAGAGAGATTAAGTCTTCTAATCTTAAACTAATAAGGGTAATGTATTAAAATGCCATTTAAATTTTTTGATTTTATTTATGTAGGTATGATGTTATAACTATAGAAACTGATATTCTTTTTCTAAATAAAATACTAAAAAGAAAAATAAGATAAACAAATTGAAGAAAAAGTAACAATTAACTATATTATTATATGTAACTTTTTATAGGTAGTTACATATTATATTTATATAGTTAGTGTATATAGAACTTACACTCTTTATAATTAACTTGATATGATTTTTCTAATAAAATATGTTTTTTCAAAGAAATCATAAATAAATTCTACTATAATCGCAAATTCCTTGGTCGGCCTTGTTGAATTGACATATTTTTTAAACAAATTTTAATTAAAGGTGTATTCTACCCCACTAACTTTATTTAATAATATTTTGAAATTTTTAAATTTACAATTACTATTTTATATTATTATTTAATATAAAAAATAGTTTGAAAAGAAGTAATAAAACACTCCTAATTTACAAAAATTGTCAAACAACGGAGTACTTATTTCTTCTCATTCCCGGGGTTACGCAAAGAGCACATGTCCTTAATTAGAAGTACATGCATTTGAAGTCTTTTCCTTTTCTTTTTAGAAGTTATAGAGTCGATTTTTAAAGCCTACATTTTTAATATGATTATTTTTTATTCAAAAAATTTCGAAATCTCTAAATAAAATAAAAGAAATACGACCATCGACTCAGGTTGGTCATGCCCTTAAATAAAAAAGGATTGGTCATGCATTTGAAAAGTATTTAATTAAGTTTATTTTTTGCGCAAATTAGTGTGTATTTCCAACTCCAAATATATTTTTAATTGTGTAGAAGTATCTCACAATGAGGTTCTTTCTCTTTTCCCCTCTTTTTGCGTGTGTTCAACTTCTCATCACATGGATGTGACGCGACAATGTAAGATCATTAATTACTTCTGATTTATTTTATGGGATTTGATTGAAAATATAATGATTAAATTAATCAATTTTTTCTATGAATTTAAATATAATTTTTTAAAAATATTTATATAAAACTGTGATTAAAAATTATCTTTTATTCTTAAAATAGTACGTAAGTAACTTGATCACATAATATAAAACAGAGGAATAATTTGATTTATGAAAGGTCAAAATTATGCATCTTTATTTTGTCTTTATTAAAAGTCATACTCCTTAATGATTAGTTTACCTAATTCACTTTAATGATGATCTTATTCTTTACCTAGATGACAGCCTAATATGTGCTCCTTTTGTATCGAATAATTCATTGTATTTTTTATACTTTACTTAAAATAAAATATTAATTGTAAGATTTTTCTTTTTATATTATTTTATTCTTATTCATGTCTTGCAATATAATTTTCCTTCATTGAATATTTATTTTATTTATATGGTATTGAAGTAATATAGTCTACAAAAACAATTACAATTGAGAATAAATTTTTAAAAAAATAGGAGTAATAAATAATTTGAGCAATAATAACAAGTAATATGAGAAAGGGAGGGAATAATATTTAGAGAATTTTGGAATTCCATTTGATTGTATGGCAAGGCTTTGTACATACAGTTAACCCCCTTTCTAAGGGGAAAAAAATGATGAAAGGAAAAACACTAATTAATCTCTACTAAAATCTGTCACTAATATAATTGCTTCTTCGTAAGGAATTGTTCAATCGAGAAGTAACATGGAAAAATGCATCCTCATTGCAAGGTATTGTGAGACCGCCCATTGAATGTTGAAATCCAAATTCTTCCTCAGCTTTCTGAAGCAATTCCTGGAACGAACTGTGATTCAGGTATGCAATTGGAACTACGTATCGTTTCTTCTCTGTTTCTCCAACGTAAACTGCTAAATGTCCTTTTGGTACATTTGATATTTGATTCCGAGTAACAACAGAGTGTAATTTGTGAAATTGCTTCAAACTGGAAATAATTGATGGTAAACGAATAATACCCATCACTAGATCTTTGATTTTGAAGATAAGTTTTGGTATTTGATGGATTGGAACTTGTTGAGAGGAATAATTTTATGCACTGAAGGTGTTTGATGATTTGACTGATTTGTTGTAGTCTATATTTATAGAGGCTGCTTGCAAATTGCAGGTCAATTGGTTCCATGTGAAAGAGGCCCTACTTCACATGCTAAGTTGATATAAGTAGTGCGGTATGGGTTGTAATAGTTCCAATGCGTGTTGCATCGTAAATAGGTGTTCTTATAATGGAAAAATATACGTATAAGATTTTAATGTACGGAGAGGTGCAAGGTTCTGGAACTTGCGCAAAGACTAGAGTAAAGAGCTAATACTGTAGCACACACTAGTAGAGGTGCCAAATGAGCGGACTTTTGTCAAATGAGTTGGATCAATGAAAGAGTTATATAATTCAACATGAACTAACCTTTTGTATAGTGATAGCAAATGTAATTTTTCTAAAAATACTAGTTTAATTTCGTATATTTGGATTGCACCTTGACTGATCACGTTGCACTATTTTGACACAGTAATTTGATAAGTTATTTTGAATATTCTGTTGAGATAAATAGGTCATTACTCAACGCGTTCAAACTTAGATGGATTGAGCGGATTATATTTTGACACCTCTTAAGTTTTGGCCAAACTAATTAGTTAGGACTTTGAACTAATTAGTTGCCAATTTTAGGGAGAACAATGGTCCTTTTGGAACATGAATACAATTACTTGAAGAGTTTGTTCTACTCTACCATCCACTCGTTTTTATCTATTCCTGAATTTTGGTGATGACGGATGGCCATAAGAAGGTTATATCTATACCACTATTCTCCCATTGTTTCCACTTTAGACATGTATATGTTTATCCATATATATATTATTGTTTGTGCCAAAAATAAAAATAGTATCACAACATGGGCACTTTGGCCATGCTTCCTTCTTGTGATCTTGTCGTTGGTGATTGGTGAATTAAGTTAAGAGTCCTTAGAAGTACATGTCTAAAGATAATATTTGGTGCAAATTCCAACCTCTAAATTCATTGGCTTACAAGCTTTTTTTACATGGAAGTAATTGCCTACATTCATGTGATTTGGTAATGCTAAGCCATTCTTTCCACTTGTGCTAATTATTATCGGTGTTGAATTCTCTAATTAGATTTCCAACTAGTGGCAAATGGCAACTTGAATGAAAATAGTAGTATTTCTATGAGTAGTAACTTTACTCCGTTATTTAAATGATAAAATGTATAAGTACTTAAATTTTTACTCCGTAGGATACGTGAAAATATATATTTTGAGTGTTGAGACACGAACTCAAAATTTCTATATGCTTTTATATCATATTGATTGGTCTAATAACTTATAAGTATATATTAGGTTCTGAACAAGAAAGGAAATATCTTGACCACTACTTCAATTTAGAAGTGCTTTGACATCTTCTATACTAAATTTGTGACCCAAATCTAGACAATTGAACAAGCTCACTATACTGAACTTTTGAACTTTAATCTTTTGTGCAAAACTAATTTCTGTCCACAATTTATGCTTGATGGTCAACAAAAACATTTGCCTAGTGAATTTTCCGAAACAAGGATATATTTTCTTTTAAAAAAATTAAGTGGGGTCAAAAAAATCAAGGCCACCTCTTTTAGGGTGATTTATGAACTAAACCCCAAATTGGTTAGTATATTTATTGTTCTTTATGCTAAGTGTTTCTTCATTTTTTTTTATTTTTTTTTTTGGTTTCGCAAACTGTGTTTGGAGCCCGTATTGGAGTTTTGTGTAAATCCGGATCGTGCACTGTAGCTTCAACATGATTTTCTCATCACTACCCCACAACCCATGTTGGTACTTGGTACTAAGTATTCCTTGTTGATAATAAAACAGAATGGTTGCTAACTAGGTTAAGTTCAACTGACAGGTTGTTCTAAGATTTCAATTTATTGAGGTTTAAGGTTCGAGGACAATGAAGAATGTTAAAAAAGAAAAATTGATTGTATATTTTGCTTTCCAATCCTCTGAACAATATTAACCAGAGGAAAGCTTACAGCTCTTGCATGACAAGAGGAAAAAAATAATCAAAATAAAAGAAAGAAGACTTGTTCATATCATAAACAATTGTTCAATCGAGGAGTGACATGAAAAAATGCATCCTCATTGCATGGTATTGTGAGAGCGCCCATTGAATGTTGAAACCCGAATTCTTCCTCTGCTTTCTGAAGCAATTCCTGGAACGAAGTTTGATTCAAGTATGCAATTGGAACCACGTATCGCTTCTTGTTGTCTGTTTCTCCTACGTAAACCGCAAAATGTCCTTTTGGTACATTATTTGAAATTTGATTCCTCATAAGAACAGAGTGTAGTTTGTGGAATTGCTTCACACTTGAAATAATGGATGGCAAGCGAATAATACCCATAACTAGATACTGTTATGACTGAAAACTGCTACTTATTGTGAAGAATAATCCACTTTAAGGTGTTAGATAATTTGACTGACTTGTTCTGGTTCTCTGAAGTTTGTAAATTTAAGGTTAATATTTATAGTGATGTGCTTGCAGGTCAGTTGTCCTTGTGGACTATATAATTGATGGCATGTGAAAAAGGGCCTACTTCACATGGCTTTTAATGGTTCCAATTCCCAATTGATCAGCATAGTGATGAGGGTGTCCATAAAGTGGTAAATATATTTACCACTATTCTCCCATTGTTTCCACTTTGGACAATACAATATACATTATTTTTTCCTCATCAAATTGCAACTCCCATGCTGCCTTATTGTTGTTGAGGTTCTCCACGAAAGTGCAAGTCCTTACAAGTACAAGTAGTTTCTGAAGTCACTATGTATAAATTTTCGAATAGATAATAAAACTTTTGCTTTAAGCCTCCAAAAATTTGAGGCCTCATGGATAATATTTTCGAATAGGTAATATCTCCGTTGATTTTGTGAAAGAGAAGATCTACATAAATCTTATTAATGTGACTTACAACAAAAGGAAATGAAAAGGACGAAAAGATAATTTCTAAATGTGAACAAAAACAAATTTCCGTATTATTAAGTTTGAACAAGCCACCAAATGATTTAATTTATTAAGTAACGACTAAACAATTAATAAAATAAATTGCTTAAATTGACCAATATCCACTACCTGTCTGTATATTCTTTTTGTACATAATATAATTCTCCGCGTAAATTGGATTTTAAATTTATAAACACACATTAATTATATTCGGCATCGAGTTACTACGAAGAAGTTGCCAAAAGGAAAAGGAATTATTAGGCACATTTATGATTTTATCATAAGCCATTATTGTGTGTGTCTGCAGATTAGAGATGGCTCATAAATTTGTTAGACTTTATCCGCGTTTTTAAAGATGCTTAGATGGATTTTGTGGGAAATAAAATGAGGAATGCGAAAATAAGATACTGTAGTTTAGATATGTGAACGAAAGGTGCATTGATGCACCAATTAAGAGGTTTATATGAGAGGTTAAAAAAGCAGGGCCAGAGGGAGTATTAACTTATATTTTTTCGTCCATTTTTAATTATCATAGTTTCCTCTTTTAGAGTCAAACGATAATAACTCTGACTAACATTTTACGATGTAATCTTTCATCATATTGATATGAAAAAAAGTTTACAATTTATAGTACTTTTAGTATAGTTTTTGAATATTTAAATATTTTGTTTAAAATATCAAATAAATTTAATCTAATTTAACTTTAAAAATTAGTCATACTGACTTTCGAAAAGGTAACATGACAATTAAAAATGGAATGAGGGAGTACTAAATGATACTTTCTCTGTTTTATGATAAGAGGTTTTTAGCTTGAACACATTTCTTAAGAAAATTACTTTCTTTTTTTTTATTAAAAAAGTCCTCATTTGATTTTATATTACTTGTCCATATTACTAAGATATGTATCTCAAATTACTTGTTAATTTACAAAACAAAGATATAGTTTTTTTTTTTTTTCATTTTACCTTTAAAATTAATTCTTTGAAAGTATAATTAAATATTGTAAATTTCCAAGAAGACTCATCTACCATTAATATTGGTAGTGGTGTATAAGGCACACAACCTAGAGTGCAGTGCTAAAAAAGTTTTAAAGGGTAAATTAATAAAAATATTCTTCTTAGTTATGATTTCTCGGGATGAATGGATTATTTTTACTAACTCATCCTTAATCAAATAACTACATTAAAAAAAAAGCAACTTCTCGAAGATTTCTTAATTATGTAAAATTCTATTTATTTAAATAAGAGTAAATCGAAAGGAAAAAACTAATGTCTTTATAATTATATGAAACACAACTTATTTAAAACACAATAAAAAAATTAAAGTTCACTTATTTTGAAATAGGATGGGGAAAGTATTATTTACTACTCTATTTGTTTATGTGATATAATTAAAATTCCCAGTGGTTTGGGCTTGGGACTTCCATGTTGGAGGTCTCAAGTTCGAAACTTTTTGCCAGCGAAAGCAAGGAGTTTGCCTTCTGGATCGAGCTTGTCGCATCGGGCTTGCCTAGTGTAGGTTACCTCTCCTATGTGGTTTGCGAGCTATTGCATAGGAACGGGGTTTTACCTGTGCGCACTCAAAGAATAACGACTACGAATTTTTCTTGTCATAAAAAAATAATAATCAAACTTTTAAATTTTAATGGTGAACTCAAATGTGAGAAGCATAAAGTATTTTTTTACATTTATTTGAAATATATATATATATAAAAGTTCTAGAAATCACAATAATTAACATTTTATAAAGAAATTCACCTCAAAAGAAAATTTGATGCCCTCGAAAATTCAACTGTACCATGTAAATTGAGTTGTTATTAATAAAACAAGTGCAATATTTTTCGAAGACAATGAAAAATTGTAAAAATATTTGATTGTATTCTAATTCAGTGAACATTAATACACATAAATTTACAGCTCTTGCATTGCAAGAGGAAAAAATGAATGAACGAGAAAATCAGTAATATATTGTCGGTCAATTAAGGCTGGTTCTTCTTCATAAGGAATTGTTCAATCGAGAAGTGACATGAAAAAATGCGTCTTCATTGCAAGGTATCGTGAGACCACCCATTGAATGTTGAAATCCAAATTCTTCCTCTGATTTCTGAAGCAATTCCTGGAATGAAGTGTGATTCAGGTATGCAATTGGAACTACGTATCTCTTCTTCTCTGTTTCTCCTACGTAAACTGCAAAGTGTCCTTTTGGTACATCTGATATTTGGTTCTTAGTTAAAACAGAATGCAGTTTGTGGAATTGCTTCACACCGGAAATAATTGATGGTAAACGAATAATACCCATCACTAGATCTTGTTATTAGTGGTAGATAGGCTTGTGAATGAATTGAGAAGAATAATGCAGTTAAGGTGTTTGATGATTTGACTGACTGGGTATGGCGATATTTATAGTAGCTGCTGGAAAATTATATATGTTGCGTTCCACCACAGCTCAGCTGTCCTTGTGTACAATTGGTGTCATGTGAAATGGGTCCAACTTCACATGTTTGCTTCATCATCAACAAATAAAATACTCCTACCCAATTCCCTAGCAAATAATTAATCAGCCCATTATTGTATTCCTTCCAAAATTTGATGAAATAGCCAAATAGTGAATTTAACTTCCTACTCTACAGGATTGGTCGAGAACCTGAGGTCTCATGTTCAAAACTCAACAAAGATAATAAAAAAAAAATATTAGGGGATTATTCCTCTGTTCTATCCTTAGTGGACATAGTTACTTGGTATCTGTTACTGATGGGAAATGATAGATATCCCGCGAAATTAATTAAGATGTGTGAAAGCTAACCCGAACACCACGGTCATAAAAAAAAATGGATAAAAGTGGTGAGAGCTAATTAATCAAATTGAGTCTGCCATATATCCATCCACTTGATTATCTCTTCCTGAATTTTGGTGGTATCTATCTACTATGTATACCACCATTCACCCATTGTTTCCACTTAGGAGATGCATGTGTATCCATATTATTGTTGCAATCTAATTCTTTTCTATCAAATTGCAACTCCCATACTGCCTTGAAGTACCTCACAAGTTAGAACTATGGGTGTGTTTGGTATGAAGGAAAATGTTTTCCATGGAAAATGTTTTCCTGGAAAACAAGTTGATTTTTGACTTATTTTCTCATATTTGGTTGGTGAGTAGAAAAGATTTTTAGTGTTTGATTTATGAATGAAAAATATTTTTGAGAAATATCTTTTATTTTTACTAGAGTAGAAAATAATTTTTGAAATTGAAAATAGTTTTTAAAAACAAACTTAAATTTTTTTTGGGGGGTGGGGGTGGTAGGGAGTGGGTGAAAGGGGGGGGGGGGGTCGAGGGTAGGGGTGAAAAATTGAAATTTTGAAGTTGAAAATATTTTTGAAAAACAAACTTAAAATTATTTTTTGGGGGTGGGGGTGGGGGGGGGGTGGTAGAGGGGTGGGTGGGTGGGGGTCGAGGGTAGGGGTGAAAAAATGAAATTTTGAAATTGAAAATATTTTTTAAAAACAAACTTGAAATTTTTTATTTTTTTTTGGGGAGGGGGGTGGGGGGCTGGTAGGGGGTGGGTGGGTGGGGGTTCTAGGGGTGAAAAAATGAAATTTTGAAATTGAAAATATTTTTTAAAAACAAACTTGAAATTTTTTTTTTTTTTTTTGGGGAGGGGGGGTGGGGGGCTGGTAGGGGGTGGGTGGGTGGGGGTTCTAGGGGTGAAAAAATGAAATTTTGAAATTAAAAATATTTTTAAAAAAAAACTTAAATTTTTTGTGGGGGGGGGGGCTGGTGGGGGTGGGTGGGTGGGGGGGCTGGGTGGGGGGGTCAAGGGTAGGATGAAAAAAATGAAATTTTGAAGTTGAGAATATTTTTTAAAAACAAACTTAAATTTTTTTTTGGGGAGGGGGGGGGGGTTAGGGGTGGGTGGGTGGGGGGTCGAGGGTAGGGGTGAAAAAATGAAATTTTGAATTTGTAAATATTTTTTAAAAACAAACTCATTTCTTTTTTGGGGGTGGGGGGTGGGGGGTGACCTGAGAAGGGGGTGGGTGATCGAGGATCGGGATGAAAAAATAAAAATTTGAAGTTGAAAATATTTTTTAAAAATAAACTTAATTTTTTTTCTTTTTGAAGGGGGTTGGGGGCTGATAGGAGGGTTGATGTGGGGGGGGAGGGGCGAGGGTAGTGGGTGGGGGGTAAAAAAATAAAAAAATGAAATTAGAAATATATTTTAAAAACAATTTTAAATATTTTTTTGGGAAGGGGTGAGCGTGGGGTAAAAAAATTGAATTTAAAAACAAGCTTTAAATTATTATTATTATTTTTTTTGGGGGGGGGGGTTGGTTAGGGGGTGATTTGAGGGTAGGGACAAAATAAATTAATTTTTTCAACAAAAAAATAATTGTAATTTGAAGTTGGAAGAGACTTTTGGAAAATGTTTTCCTTAAGTTTAGAAGGGAAGTCATTTTCCTTAAATTTGAGGAAAATGAGTTGATTTGGAAAACATTTTCCAAAACATTTAGCCCAACCAAACATGAGAAAATTGGAAAACATTTTCCGGAAAATGTTTTCCTTCATACCAAACACACCCTATATATAAGTATCTTCTACTTCTGCTAAATGTTTTCCTTCATACCAAACACACCCTATATATAAGTATCTTCTACTTCTGCTAAAAGTTGTGAAGTCATTACTCATTAATGATCTAAAGATAACTTTTGGTACAAATTCCTACGTACGTACCATGCCTCCTATCTTCTGCGGAAATAACTGCATGCCCACTTATATATGTCTTGGTTTAGAATTTTCATAAATATGCATGGCAGCACAACAAATTAAATTGTGTATTTTTGGTGCTGAATATTCAACTTAATTATATATATGTTCCCAACTAGTGGCTACTGCGTACTTGCATGAAAATAGCATTATTTAATGAGTAGCCATTTACAAAAAGATCTTTATTTCTATCGTAAGAGATATGTCATTTTCTTCTATTAAAATTGTAAGAGTTCACGAGATTTCATTTCCTCCTATTCCCCTCTTGATTATATGAAATTAAAGTAGAAAATTGAGAACGTTTTGATTAAGAAAGAGAAGGATTTTATCTTAATTAACTACTACTAATAATTATATCGCAGGATTTGTGATACAGATTCAGATGATAAAAGATCAAATGATTGGAACTATATTTTCGATAAAGATCAGATTTGGTAGGTTTGCTTAATCTAGTTAATATTGTTACAAGTTCAATTTTCCAGTCACTGCTGACGCTGTTCAATAATTAGATTTCCTTATTATTAATTCTGCTAAAAAAGAAGAAGGAATAATTAAAGAAATTTCTTTTGACATCTATTATTCCAAGTCTGTGATCCAGATCCAGATAATTAAAAAATTGAAATTCCATGTAAACATAATTAATTAGCTTGACTTACTAAACTCATAATAAATTAAAGGTCTAACCTATCGGTGACCCCCTAAAGTTGAAAGCAATTTTTACTTACACACTTTAACTGCATGCCCACCTGTATGTGTCTTGCTCTTGATTTTTCAATAATTATGTTCAGCACAACATTTTCCTGTTGAATTTTCAACTTAATTACATATATATGTTCCCAAACTAGTGGCTAGCTACTCGCATGAAAATAAACGAGTGCTAGTTTTACCAACTCTGCCATTTAATTTGATGATCAGCATGCATTTGAAACTTGTGAATTGTATGATAATCTTCTTATTTAAAAAGTTTAAGTTGTTACGAAGATCATAGGTTTGTTTACCTTATAACAGTTCCTTCTTGTGTGGGTCGGATTCTTTTTTCTTAATGAGCCAACCACATTTTTTTATAATGATGTAACGTCACTTGTGCCTAAGACATCTGTCTGAAGTAATTTCACATTGAACTGTGAAATAATCTTATTCGAAAGATTGAGCTATTAGAGATATAGTATGTATTAATTCATTTAATCATATATAGGTTCCACATTATAGTCACTGCTATACTACAAGCTTTCATACTTTCTAGAAAGAATCATACATTTATTACTAAACTATACTCGCTACAATCCGCTTATTATATACAAATATAACTTTCGTAGAACAAGGACAGAAAGTTCTTTTGTTGTTGCTTGAATCTTAGCTATTTAAATAAAATGAGATATTACAACTATAACATTAATCTAAATTTCAAAATATTATAACGGTGACTTACAACTAATGAAAATGAAAAGAGAAAAAAAAGACGAAAATAGCACTCCCAAGTGTGAACAAAAATATTTCGGTACTATAAGTTTGATCTAACAACCCAATGATTTAATTAAGGAACGACTAAAAAATATACATTATAAATTGCTTATATTGACCAAAATTATACTACCTGTACGCATAATTTAATTCTCCGCGTATATATCATTTTGAAATTTATGGAGCACATTAATTATTCTGTATTGAGCTACATGCCTACAACTACGAAGTTGCCAGATCAAGGAAATGAAAAATAAAAGGCAGTTAAGATTTTATTTTAAAATAAATTGGAAGTACATCACATGATTTCAATATCAAATTATTGGAACCATTTTCTATATAACTACAATCAGCGTAACTTTTTCTTAATAGCGCATTATTAATAATCATTATGAAAGAAAAATTAAATGTAAAAGAATATCTTAATACTGTGGATACGAGACACATTTTGGCATTTGATTAATTTATATGTGTGCCGGTAAGTTTCACTTTGAAAGGTAAACGTAAAACACTTTCTGATAAAGACGATTTCAATATCCCGAGCTCGAATTCAAGACCTCCGGTTTGGTGGTATTGACGAGTGACGACTTTACATTTGCGAACAAATGTGAAGGAATCTAAAATTGGTTGAGAGTTGGCATTACTTACGATTATATTAATTATTACTTAATTAGGAGATATGTAGGTTTGCTTAATATAATTAATATTGTCACAAGTTCAAATTTATTAGTCTTTGACTCTACACCAATCAACGCTAACGCTGTTCAATAATTAGATTTCCTTATTAGTAATTCTGAAAGAAGAAAAAAAGGATTTAAAGACATTTCTTGACAACTACTACAACAGTTATACAGAAGTGCTTTGACATCATTTTCATTTAAAAAAACTATGAAAATGATTGAAATTCTATGTAAACATAATCAATATCAATAATTATACTTTAGAATAAATTAAAAGAATTTCTATGTGGACTACTTTGTTGTACAAAAGAATTAGCCAAAATAACCATCGATTATTACTTGTAGCAACATCCTTCTGTAGTTGTGTTGCTATGTTTCAACCAGATGTAAAATTAGAAGTAGAATTGATTAAAATATCAACGTGATAATTATTATAGGTGGTTGTTTTGAATCCCAAATTTCATTGTGCTGCACTAAAATTGTAACGTTATCCATCACTAGAATTCGCGTAGAAGGTTGCTTGGGGAAGAAGAGGCAAAATCCGTGTGAGAATAGTTTTGCACTGAATTATAAAAAGAGTTAAAAAATAATGGTGCATCAGCTATTCACTTTGTAAATAGTTTCAATTTTTGGGGTGGGTATAAGTGTTCTTTTCCCCTTTTAAAATATAAATTAAATCCAACACCTAATTTCACTAGAACGAAAAAATAGATTTCTTGACAAGTACTTTTTAAGTATTTTAATTCTGTACACATAATAAAAAGAACTATACTATCAACTACGGATACACTATTACTTCCACTTTTCTTTTTAATCTTGTCGGTCCAAAAAGAAAATTACATCTTTCTATAATTAAAAATGATTTCTATACAAATATCTAAAGTTTGTGTATAATTTTTTTAAGCTAGAGATAAATTAAGTATATATGACAATAAAATATGTTTAGTTAAATAGTATTTCAAATTTTAGAAGTCATTCTCTTTTTTCTTAAAATTTGTATCAATCAAATACAATAAATTCCACAAAATTGAATCTGTATCAATTAATTAGTGTTTCTTGAATTGAGATAGAAAGAATAACTGATTGTTAAATTCTACTGATTTAAAAAAATTTAGCAGCATTATTCTTAAACTGTTAAAAATATTTTACGAAGACAATGAAAAATTGTAACAAAAATGAGTGTATTCTTTGGAATTCTGTCAACATTATGAGTGAGTGAAAAGGCAATTCACATAAATTTACAGCTCTTGCAAGATGAAAAAGAAATAATTAATATAATCTGTCACTAATATAATGCTTCTTCATAAGGAATTGTTCAATCGAGAAGTGACATGGAAAAATGCATCCTCGTTGCAGGGTATTGTTAGACCGCCCATTGGATGTTGAAACCCAAATTCTTCCTCTACTTTCTGAAGCAATTCCTGGAAAGAAGTGTGATTCAGGTATGCAATTGGAACTACGTATCGCTTCTTCTCTGTTTCTCCAACGTAAACTGCTAAATGTCCTTTTGGTATTTGATTCCGAGTTAAAACAGAGTGTAGTTTGTGAAATTGCTTCAAACTTGATGGTAAACGAATAATACCCATCACTAGATCTTCAGTAAGTTTTGGTAATTGATGGATTGGAACTTGTTGAGTTAGAGGAATAATTTTATGCACTGAAGGTGTTTGATGATTTGACTGACTTGTTCTTGTTCTCAAATTTGAACTGAAAAGGGCTATATTTATAGGGTTGTCTCATGTGATAACGGCCCTACTTCACATGGCTCATCAACAAATTAAAATATTTCCCTCTGAATAACTAAGTAATCAGCCTACAAGTTATAACATTGTAGATGGCTTGTACAATTACCATTTATATTGATCCAATCGTTTTCGGATTTTGAGATTTAAACAAATCTATCTAAATTTTTCATATATCTTTTAATTATTATGACTTATAATACTTTTTACCTAGTTTACGAATATATAAATTTTATTTCGATTTCACACGCAAATTTCCGATCAAACTTAAACTGTTTTGACTCTCAAAAAATGAAAAGTGTCACATAAATTGAGACATCCACATTCAATTGGAACTCCAAATTGGAAACAATTACTTGGAGAGTTTCTAATCTGCCATGTATCCACTTGACTTGATTATTATCTAGTCCTGAATTTTGGATGGCCATAAACTGTCTGGTTATATATATACCACTTTTCTCCCATTGTTTCCACTTTGGACATGTATATATATAAAAATATTGTTTGTGTCAAAATATATAACGAACCAACAAACAATGAATTATATATGTTGCTCTCTAATTCTTTACTAGTATCTAATTGCAACTCCCATACTGTCTTGTTGTCCTTGAGGTTGTGCAAAAAGTTGTGAAGTCATTTATCATCTACATATTTTTTGGTGCCGAAATAACTGCATGCCCACCTCTATCTGTCTTGCTCTTGATTTTTCAAAAATATGACAGCACAACAAATTCTGCATTTTTCAACTTATAATTACATATATGTTCCCAAACTAATGGCTACTTGCATGAAAATAAACGAGTGGTAGTGGTGATCACCATGCATTTCAATATTGTGAATTGTATGATACTCTTTCTTATTTAAAAAGTTTAAGTTGTTAGAGAGTACCTTATAACAATTTCTTATTGTGTGGGTTGGATTCTTTTTCTTAATGAGCCAATCACATTTTTTTTTTAGGAAAAACTACCTAACCACACATATATCACTACCATATATACTATATTTACCTCTAATTTAAAATAATTACATATATTATCACTTTTAATATTTATACCATATATTTTAAAAGATTTATAAGATACACAAATCCCTTAAATATGGTATTAAATAATTATCTTAAATGTAAACTCCTTAATTAATGGTCATTACTCATTAACAAGTTAAATTTTTTCTATTCCCATCTGTTGCTTTGCCGGCAGTTCCCCGCCCCATGTCAGCCCACTTTCTTTCTTCTTCTATTGGAATTCATTGACGTGTCAGATCATCTCATTCGAAAGATTGACTTAAGGTTTAGTACATATTAATTCATTTAATGATAGGTTCCACATTATAGTCACTGTCCTACTACAAGCTTTTGTACTCTCTAGAAAGAATTACACATTTATCACTAAACTATACCCGCTACAATTCAATTATTACATACAAATATAACTTTTGTAAAACTAAGACGTGATGTTTTTTTTTGGTTGCTTGAATATTAGCTATTTAAATAAAAGGAGATATTACAACTATAACATACATCTAAATTTCAAAATATTATAACGGTGACTTACAACTAATGAAAATGGAAAAAAAAAAAAAAAAACCGGAAAAAGCACCAAGTGTGAACAAAAACATTTTGGTACTATAAGTTTGATCTAACAACCCAATGATTTCATTAAGTAACGACTAACAAATATACATTATAAATTATAATCCCTGTACTTATGTACTTAATTTAACTCGCCGCGTATATATCATTTTGAAATTTATGGAACACATTAATTATTCTGCATTGAACTACAAGCCTACAACTACGAAGTTGCCGGATCAAGGAAATGAAAAAGAATTTGCGCATTTATGATTTTATCATAAGATTTTAAAATAAATTGGAAGTACATCACATGTTACCAATATAACAGAATTTGTGATCCAGATCAAGATAATAAAAGATCAAATGATCGGAATTATTTTCTATATAACTACCATCAGCGTGACTTTTTCTTAATAGAATCATTAATAATCATTATTAAAGAAAAAATAAATGTAAACAAATTTCTTAGTACTCTGGACAGGAGACGCGTTTTGGGGTTTGATTAATTTAAATGTGTGGCTTTCTGTCAATGACGACTCCAGTACCCCAGCTCGAATTCAAGACCTCCGGTTTGGTGGTAGACGACTTTACATTTGCGAACAAATGAAGGAATCCAAAATTAGTTGAGAGTTGGCATTACTTACGAATTATATTAATTATTATATATACTTAGGGGATATGTAGGTTTGCTTAATCTAAATTAATATTGTCACAAGTTCAAATTTAATTATTAGTCTTCGACTCTACACCAATCACTGCTGATGCTGTTCAATAATTAGATTTAATTTCCTTATTATTAATTCTGAAATAAGAAAAATAGGATTTAAAGAAATTTCTTGACAACTACTACAACACTACAACAGTTATACAGAAGTTCTTTGACATCATTTTCATTAAAAAAAAATATGAAAATGATTGAAAGTCCATCTAAACATAATCAACAGCAATAATTATACTTAGAATAATTTAAAAGAATTTTTATGTGGACTACTTTGTTGTTCAAAAGAATTAGCGAAAATAACCCTCGATTTCATAAGTTATTGCCAGTATACATGTTACTCACAAGTCCTAGCTAGTAGGCAATTACCAACATTGTGGAGTTAAAAAAAATGGTAGCTTGGTGTACGAAGCATTCCAGTGAAGGCGCACCACACTCTAATTAATAATTAAGGGAGTGTGAAACCCGTTCTTATATGCCACATGTAAAACAAATTAAAACGTTACTCGAAAGCTCCTCTCACTACATAAAAATGATCATTAGCGGTAATTAAGAATTAATTACTGCTAAATATGTATTTTTAGCGGCAATTAACACTCTTTGTATCTCTAAAGCCTTTAGCGACATTGATTCTAATGGCACTTAACTAATGCCGGTAAAGACTTTAGCACTCTTTATTAATGTCAATATTTAATGCCGCTAAAAATTATTTTTGTTGTAGTGTCTGCAAAATATTCTTTATGGATAACGAAACAGCACATCCAATGGCCTCTACATAACAAAATCTCTCTTGCTCTTGATTATTTAACATAGAAAAATCTTGATATTTTATCTTTAAACAGGAAAAAGAAAAATCTTGACAGTTTGAAGTTTAAAATATTTAAACAATTAGATAGGCTACGTTATAAGGCATATAGTAGTATAACTTGATAAAAACGATACGTAATGACAATGAAGAATGATAAATATTTGATTGAATTTTTTCCTTTCCAGTATTTTTCTCAACAGTACGAGTCAGTACAGTAAAGGCATTAATTTGCACATAAATTTACAGCTCTTGCATGTCAAGAGGAAAAAAAAAACGTATAATGAACATTATACGTATTGAAAAATAAAAAGAAGAAATTAAACATGCACTAAGCTTTGTTCAATCGAGAAGTGACATGAAAAAAAGCTTCCTCGTTGCAAGGTATTGTAAGACCGCCCATTGGATGTTGATATCCGAACTCTTCCTCTGCTATTCGTAGCAATTCTTGGAACGAAGCATGATTTACGTATTTAATTGGAACCACGAATCGTTTCTTCTCTGTTTCTCCAACGTAAACTGCTAAATGTCCTTTTGGTACATCTGATATTTGCTTCCTAGTAACAACAGAATGCACTTTGTTGAATTGCTTGACACTTGAAATCATAGATAACAAACGAATACCCATGATCACTATTTTTTTTTTTAATACTGACTTGATTGTACTAAATTTGGTGTTTGATATAATTGGAAGAACTTGTTCTGAATTGTTTGAAGTGGAAATTATAATTTATATTAGCTGCATATGTTGTTGCCACCAAAGTGGACTGTGCAAGGGAGGTCCTACCTCACATGGCCTTTGCTCATTTTTGTCCAATTGGAAGAAAATGAAATGAAATATTCAATTCCCTATGAAGTCATCACTCTCATCCAAGTCTTGATTAAGGAGCCCACTTGTTTAATTGAACTTATTGCATATTTGGGCTGCTGGTCTTTCTATGAAGTTTCATTAATTGAGAAGCTTTCATAAAGACTATACTTTTGGAGTCTAATTATCGTACATAATTATAGTTTATCTAATTATTATTCGTAGCTAATGTTCTGTTTTTATCTAATTGTATGGGTGGTCAGTTGAACCTCCTCCATTGAAAAATAATACCTGCATATATATAGAATATTTATAATGTGTATATAAAAATCATGTTTATACATATATATTAAATTTCAACTATCTTTAATAAAATTTCAAATGTCACTATTGCATTCTCTCGATATATCACATCATAGGTTACATTGTAAGTGTTCGCTCACTGTATAGACACATACAGTCGCGTTGGATACAATCACAATAGATTGAAAGAATACGCCATATCAAATAAAGTGTACAAGTTAGTTAATCATGCAACTAATTTTATTTATATCAACTTACATTTGAATTTGGCTTGTTTTAATTTGTTGGTGGTCATAATACACAACACCGTCACTTGGCCATTGTTTCCAATTTGGATATAGTTTTCATCCATATTACTGTTTGTGTCTCAAACACGACCAAACATGAAACAACATCTCCGGCCCCTATACAATATTTTGTGTCTTTAATTGTGTATAATACACTCAAATTGAAAAATTCTTCATATTTAATTATCCACTCGTTATCTAAATGTTACTCTTTCTTTTATTATATTATATACATATACATATGTTGAAACTCTTTCGTGCCTCCAGCCAATTAAAATATTTTTAAAAATATATTAGTATAAGTTATATATATCAAGAATTGATATAATTTATATATATATATATATATATATATATTATCAGTCAAAATTTGTCCGCTTAGTTACTACTTTTTTTTTTTTTTGTAATTGTGAATACTTAATAAGTAACATGAATGTACATATTATATAAAATTAACTTGAGCTATAGACTTACATGAAAAATAATAATGTAATAGATTGCTCACAAAGTTTGTCCAATATAAATTAAATTATTAAATGGATGCTATATATGGTCAAGAGAGGTGATTGAATAATGTTTATTATATTGAACATAAAAAAAAAATTGTGATTGTACATCCAAACCTAATCAAGTTGATGACTTGAAACAGAAAGGAGTAAAAGGAAAGAAAAAAAATTCCCAAATGTCAACAAAACTAAATTTCGTACTTAATTATAATAAATTAGAGCAAACAACCCAATGATCATTTCGTAAAGAATTAATTAACAAACTAACTAAATGGATAATTAGATGGCCACTAATAATGCCAGGATATATATGTATGTATTGTTTGTGCATCTAATTCTCCGCGTTCATATTTACAATTTTAAATTAATGTTAGATATTATTATTCTGCATTGATATTTTAAAATTACTTATGAATTGCTAATTATTTTGGGATACGATTAATTTGAATTATTCATATTAAGAATATAAGAAATTTCATTTAAGGGTAAAACGTTCTCTAACTATTGACTAGTTCCAATAAATAATTTCTTATTCCCCTTTCAACTAAATATAAAAGAAATATTAAAAGAATGTTTTGATTATAGGAAAGAGAGAAGCAATTAATTATCTTAACAACTCATATAAAAGTACTTTTTTTTGAAAGAAAATTGGAAGTAGAGTCATCAATATCAAAGAATATGTGATAATAAAAAAGTACTCTAATTATCATGATAGAAAACGATTTTCCATCTAAACAGCATCAACGTGACTTAGAGTTCTGAGAGTTTTAGAATTAACAATACTCCCTCCCTTCGTCCTATAACAATTTTCTTTTTATATGAATATTAAAAAATTATAAATAAAAATTAATTATAAATAAATGGGACCACTTTTTAAAAAAAATTAATTACAAGGTAATATAGGAAAAATCTAATTAATATTTTCTTTATTTAGTAAGGTGGACAATTAATAGTGTAATAGTAACAACTTTTTAATAAGATGATCAATTAATATGAGACAGAGTGAATAATCAATCAGATAAAAAGAAGACACTCTGTACATGAACATAAATAACCCCACCGGCATGTCATAATTAATCATTCCCAGTGTGTTAATTAACGATGATGTAAAGTAAGTTATTTTTAAATCAAATTAATTAGTACGTCTTTCTCTACACTACTTTTCCACCGCGAATTAATATTCTCTTTTTAATAAACATGAAAATCCAGCCATGCAAAACAGCGTAGAATATTAGTAGCCCCAAAGAAGTGGAAGCTATTCTTTTATTAGTATCATAAATGAGACTACGAGGTGTCAAAATAATGGATTTAACTTAGATATACAAATAATATGTATTTTTGTTATACTAGTATTTATTGATAATTTAGAATAACAAGTTAAATTACATTATGTTGTAAAAAGTTAAGTTCATCACATTGTTAATGTATATAATTTTAATTGTCAGAAAGTAATTTAGATTTTTCATCTTCGCGAAAATATAGATTTAGTTTTAACTTTTTTTTTTTATGTATATTCTTGAAAATATACTCGTTAAAATATTGAGATGAAATGGGAGTATAATGATGTGTGTTGTGATTTATGAGAAAATACAACAATTAGTGCATGCAAGTGTAAAATATGGAGTAATTCAGAATAATCACTACTAGAAAAGAAAAAGTAGAAATAGAGAGAGGCCTTTCGCTGTGAATTAATGAAAAATTTGTCTTATAAATATAATTTTCCATTACATCAGCTCACTAGAAAATATAATAGTGGAGAATAGATTCTCAATGAAATAATAAGAAGTTTCTTAATTTTATTTTGTGAAAACACTATTATTATTTTTTTTCTCATTAATTCAATCAAAATTTGTGTGGGAATTGTCACTGAAGATTTCAATGAGAAAATAATAATTTTTCAGTAATGAACATGCGTATTGTTTTTCATATGGAACTTGGAAGTGAAAAATATATTTCCTTACACCAGTAATTGATTACATTGAACTTAAATGTATATGATCAGTATATATATCTGTGAAAAAAAAACATTAAATTACAGTAATAAATATATAGTATCAAATTTTGAACTCATAAGTTTAAAAATACAATGAGTTCAATAACAACATGAATATTATTGACATCTAGAGATGAGATTCAAATGAGAAATGATAGTGAGGAATGTAGTTTCACTGCATGGAATAGTAAGACCACCCATTGGATGATGAAATCCATATTCATCTTCTGCTTTCCTCAACAATTCTTGAAATAATGGATGTTCCAAATATGATATTGGAACCACAAACTTCTTATGTTTCTTGTAATACCTCTCTCCCACATACACTACTATATGCCCTTTTGGTACCTCTAATTTTTTTCGTAAAAAAACATTATACTTAGCTTGTCGAATCATCGCCCTTATACCTATAATCCCCATTATCAAACCAACAAATTTTTATTTTTTTCTCGCTTTGACTTGCCTTCCTAATTATCTTTCAATCTGGAGGAGGAGGAAGAAAAGAAGAAGTTAAAATTGTTTAAGGTTTAGATATGATTGATGAACATATAAGTTATTATATATATATATATATAGGATTTGAATTCTATTGGTTGTTTATGAATTGATGATATTATAATATTAACAACTATATGGAAAGAAGTGTGGGACCCTGAGAAAGCTCGACGGTGGATGGTTCTATTTTTTTTTTCTCTTGCATGCATTATTAGTATGATAGTAGCAGTGATCTCATAAATTTATCAATTGGATCCCCCAACTTGTTGCAGTGTGAATACTTTTGAATGAAATTAATAACGATAAATATTTTGAATGAATGAAATATTTATATTTATGGTGATAGCCCACAGTTTTTTTTAAAGCTCATACCGCGTACCACTTTATAGAATATATTTGATCTTCAAATTTTATTTTGAAATACTTTTAAAAAATTATATTTGAATTCACATTGAAATGAATAAATTTGACACTAGTTACATTTCGAATCAAATCACATAGATTAAAAAGAATAAAGTGTAATATTTTCTCCGATCTAAAATAATGATGTTTCATATATTAAGAAGGTATTTAAGAATTTTTGTTTTCCTTCAAATTTTCACTTGACATATTCCTAATTCAATGATAATTTATGTCAAAAGGGAAAAAAAATCACAATTAAAGATATTTTAGTCAAAACCTTAATTAATTTAATTTTTAAAAGTAAATGAATACCTTAATCCATGTATCAAGCCTAAAACATCTTTTGCACTGAAAGGAATAATAACATAAAATACATTATAGATTAAATTGTAAGAACAATATAGAATTATACAATATCAATAAATATAATGTAAGTTTTGAGTCATGAAATTAGTCGTATAATTAGATGAGACGATACATTAAATGAGCATTTTCTTGAGCTACAGTACTTGAAATATAATATATTTTTTTTCAAATATATTTTGGCTTAAATTCTGTTGCCCCCAAAGTTCGTGGTATATTCTGCGTCTTGCTAGCTGTTATATATCATTAATTAATAACATCAAGTGCCATTAAATAAACACAATTACGTCGCCATTTCGTGATAAATTTCTTTAAGTGCTATTGTTGATTTGTTTGTTAAATTTTTAATATGTTCCCACCTTGCTCTCTAAGTTTTGCCACTTCAACAAAAGTTAATATAGTCAACATAATATACTATACTTTTTCGTTTTTTTTTATTTGGCTTTTATTGACTTAATACTTGATCACCTTAAGAAATTATTTATTAGAAAATTATTTTACTATATTAAACTTTCTCCATTTCAAAATAAATTTGGGTGGTAAACTGGTAATACACCTTTTCAAAAAAAAATATTAACTAATGACATTAATAAAAAGGGTAATTTGTTAATTATATCATTTTGCTTCTTCGCCAATTTTTCTTAAAATTAGTGATAATTTAAAAAATTATTGTAGAAAAGGATAATTTTACAAAAATATAATTTAATATATTTTTGGACTTTGAAACATTCATTTATTTTGAACCATAAAAGAGTGCTATAAATATATTTATTTTGGATTGAGGAATATAATCTGTATTAATTGTATATTAAAAAGCTAAATTTGATTAGTAGTACTTTATGTAGTTACTTAATGATAAGGATACTGTTGGAAGAAAATAACTTTAAAAAATTAAATTATTAAAAATGAACCAGTAAAAAAAATATTAATAAAATTATTTTGTTAAGAATAAACAAGTAAAGGAAAAATTATACTAAGGACAAGTAAAAATGAATATTTTTTTTGCCTAGTTATTTAGTAGAGTAGAGCCCAACTTCTCCATAGCAATATCTTCAAATAACAATATCTTATTATAATAAAAGTTTTTTTTTGAAAATAATTTTTAGGTTATATTTTATTTCTTTATAACTTTTTTTAATCTATAATAACATCATCAATACCTTATTATAATAATTAAGTTTTTTTCGAAAATATTTTTATAACAATATAGTCTTTTCAAAATTACCCATTTATAGTAAATATCTTCCTTTTGGTAATACAAACTAATCATTTTTATAGAAATAGAATCTCTAAACCTTACCAATAATTGGTACATGTTTTGACCAAATATATATGCTCATCATTAAAGTTTTTTGCTTATGCATTCAACTAGGACAATTTAGCTCATTAATTTGCCTATAATATTCTAGTTTTAACCAAAACTAATTTGGGTAGCCATAAATCATAATTAGTAGAAAACGTTGAATTCATTATTTGTTTGTGTCTGCAAGCAAAAAATGTATACTTTATGATATCTCTTTCTGCGACTAATCATGATTTTCAATCTAAATATAATCATTCCCAACTGATCTTCCCCTCCAAAAAAATAAAATAAATTATCAAATCTATTGTCAGTAATCATTTGGAGGTGCCATTACCATTTAGTAGTTAATTCATCTGGAAATGATGCATTTATTTATATTTAATTATCTATTCTTTTGGTTGTCAGTGCACCTAACCTGGCTAGCTAGTTTTTTATTGTGGTCCATATAAGTTCCAGTTAATAAGATCAAGATCAGGGTAATAATAAAAAACAGGAAAAAGGATTTAAAAAAACATTATTTGAATATTGAATATACATATTACATTGGGAATAGTCCATGTTACAAAATTGAAGAGATCGAGGCTGACTTAGTCAAGCTCTCTCAATCCAAATGTCTCGGATTTGAGCCATAGAAATAAAGTAACTCCTCATAGGAAAATGAGAGCTCTTTATATGCTGCATAAATCCGGATCAGTCGGACCAATGAATTCCAGATACCAAATGGTAGAGGAAAAAAAAAAGAAATCACTAAGACTATGAGATGAAATAAGTTTACAATTCTTTAAAGTCTATGATGACTTAAGTAAAGAAATGAGACTAATAAAGTAATCTTCACTACATGGAATTGTAATACCTCCCATAGGATGATTATACCCAAATTCTTCTTCAGCCCAATGTAACAAATCTTGAAATAAAGGGTGATTCAAGTAAGAAATTGGAACAACAAATCTCCTATATGTTTCACCAACATAAACTGCAAAATGTCCTTTTGGTACATCATTTGTAGTAGATGAAATGCTTCCATTTCTTGGTGAAATTGTTCTTCTAAGCTTCTCTTTAGCATTTGATATTCCAACTAAGGCTCTTCCCATTTTTAAACACAAAAGATTTGAGGCTAAATTGATGTTTTAATTTGAAATGAATTTGACTTGTGTTTGAAATGGAAGATAGGAAAACTAGACTATATATATAGAGTCATTTCAATCCTCAAATTGGCAATAAATTAATGAAGATTAATGTGTGAAGTTGGCAAACATATCAGGTGAAGAAATTGGCAAAAGATCACATGGTTTTGCCTAATCTATTTCAGGACATCATGTCCTACCACTTTAGGGTACAAAATTAATAAAAATCTTTGCATTATTTGAAAAATGTGACATGCTGATTTTTGTTGAACATATCATTAGGTAAATAAAAATATTTTTAGTAATTAAACTTTTGGATGAGATAGATAATTATTTAGTTTCAACATGCATGGGTGGACGATGCACGTCTCGAACAATGGGTTTATTTGAATTAAACTCGATACTTTCAGGTAGAGAATATATTTATGTGTAAAATCCACTAAAATTGCACAAAATAGTAGATATAGACCCGATGTTTTAAAATATAACAGAATCAATACTAAGAACCTTAAAAGTTGAATCCATAAATCTAAAATTCTAGATTCGCCTTTCTCAACAATGTTGACTTAGCATGATGTCAGAGCATGCACAGGTTTCGTTCAAGTTTCACCATCATGGTGGCATAGGCAACTTTCACTAACATAATTTAAAAAATAAAAAAGTAAACACGTGAAAAAAGACTAAAGAAATTCAAGTACACATAATACTTTTGACCTTATATATACACAATGTAATTTTCAAGCCCCCTCCACACTTCTAGCTATCTCCGCCCACCATCCATTAATTTAGTTTTTTGGTTTCATATTCGGTGTTTGATGCCCAAATTGGAGCTCAACTAAATCCGGATTCACGCCTAAAAGTTTCACATTGTGAAGTGAAGCGCTCCCTAAGACCCTAACAAAGGCGACTTTGTATCGGTATACTCGAACTTGAAACTTCTAATTAGAATAAAGCAGTACTTATCGCCCATTATTATTATTACATATTTATCTCACTAAAAAATCAATCTCGTATGTTAGGGGATATGTTGGACGCATAATTAAACAAATACTCTCATATTTAAATTTATTGATGAGATGATCACGTACCTCACCAATATCCATAATTGACTTTTGACAAACACTTACTAACTGCACTTCCTGTACTGTTGTTTATTGATACAAAAAGATGTTTCTCGATGAGTTATAAGGATAACAAAAGTAGCTCATTTTCCTATATTATAGAGGCATTGAACCTGGACTTGCCAATGTTTAATAAATCAACCTTTTGCCAGTTTACCAGAAAAAAGTTAGTGGCTCATTTGTATCATAATTCAGATTCTTGAAAATAGTGCTCTTTTTTTTCTTCTCTATGTTTGGGTTCGCTTATCAAGAATAATATTTTTGTTACTCTGTTGCTAGCATTGAAGTAAATGCCTCGATGGATAATAAAAAAAAAATTGAGTCAAAAATTGAAGTAAACTCCAAAAATGTGTTGTTTCCAAAATGTTCTTTTTTCTTCATATTTTAGTTCCTAAACAGAATCTAAGTTCATTCTTAGTGAAATCTGACTTGGAGAAAGTGTCGAAGTTCTGTATATAGTATGTACGCAACCTTATCCTAACTTGTTAAGGTAGATAGGTAGTTTCGTATAAATGCTGAAATGTTTGGTGTAAACTGTAAGGGACAAAATTTGAATTCAATAAATGCTCAAATTTTGTTGTACTTAGCTCCGTTCGTCTTCATTTCCATTTTCTATGAGTATTGTTATATCACTATCATCACCCATTTATGGCAAAACGTGTTATTAAAAGTCAGATCATTATCAGTATTTGTTAAGTCAATCCAATTTATGTTGACACATTACTTATATTGTTAGTAAAGAACCGATTATTGAAGAAATTGAGGAAGTCAAACCCATGATTAATTAACAAATTTTCATACTAGTTGTTGCCTCATTTTCTACCAATTTTTTTTTGTGAATTGTGCCTGTAGACTGCAAACCGATAGTTCACATTTAGCAATCGCACATGATTCTTAATTTCACGGCCACATATTTTATTTGTTTAATTATATCTTCAACAAGTCCTCCACGTGGACATGAATCTTTTTTCATAGGCCAATCACGTGGACATAACTTCCTTAATCAATTTTAGATGTACAAAGTTTAAAGATATTTCTTCGCTAGTACGAGGTTAGTTGAATAATTAAACTTACTTAACATAACTAATTATCATGTTTAGATGTCTACAATCACATCTTTGATAATGAATAAGGGGCCAAGTGATAGTAATATAGTATTACTTATCCAATCAAAGTTGTCATTTGATCATTAGACAAGAGACTTGATCCATTCATAGTGGTATTAGTCAAATTAAAGAGGGTCCTCTTACATTTGGTTATGAGAAAAGTAGTAGGACATGATGTTTTTTCTTCAACAAGTATTATATGGTCTAAGTACTTTGTCAATTAATGAATTGGAAAAGCAAACCATGTTATATTTCATGTGTTGTTGTCTTTTCAACATCACTAAACATTTGGATATGCATTAGAAATTACTACTTGCCTATACTATATATATACTTATGCACAGTATTCTTAACAAAAAAAATTTTACTTTCTCATTGCTAAGCAAAATTCATTCATTTTCTGATCTCAGTCTGTTGTGAACAATCAAGATAGTGATAAACTTTTAGATGAAATACATGAAGCTGAATTAATTTGGCGTAAATATTTGGTGTTCGGTTTTTAGGCCATACATGTCATAGTGCAGACTGTCCATAAACACCTTGAGGATCAGCATTATTAGCATTGAGGTGAATCACCGCACTACCTCTATCATATATTGGACATTACATAAAGTAAGAGTGCATAGTCAACACGCACCTAAAGTGCCTATGCTGGAACTTAGAATGTTTGGCAAATTAGATTCCTACTAAAGAAGTGCTGCTCAATGTCAACTCATTATTCAATTAATGAAATTCAATGGGATCCAGAAGTATTGCTCAATGCCAACTCATTATTCAATTCATGAAATTTAATGGAATCCAGAAGTGTTGCTCAATGTCAACTCATTATTCAATTTGTGAATTTCAATGGGATCCAGAGATACCATGTTTGATCCCAAGTACTCAGATAGATCAAAAGTACAATTCTATCAAAACTGCTCATTTTCAAATGATATCCATATTGTACACAAATATTATATAGTTTAATCCATCTCGCATTGAACCTACAAATATCTGTATTTTTGAGTTACCTCGAGATCATTAGACGTTTAGTTAAAATCACTATTAAGAGATAAATTTGTACCAGCGAATTATCATAAATGATCACCAGATTATAGATAAGTTTCTACATTCTTCTCTGGCGTGTCTATGAACTTCTTGTTGACTAATGCAACTGGAGGAATTTTCTAGATTTATCGATTTCTCTCGCAGTTTGATCATTTTATGTGTACTCAACTGCAGCACTACTTGAACCAACCAACATGCCTTCTGAGCCGTCCCTTTTAGCACTATGAATGATCAGATTTTGTCTAAAATCTTCAGGAGATGCCCATATAGATTCACGTTTTATGATCAATTGATCGATGGGATGCTGACTACACTTAATTGGTCCCTAACTAAACTATTTCAAGAAAATGAGATTTCATGAATCTGTTCTTTATTTAGAAAAGCAATGGGGCCTTATGCTTTTAGACATAGTTTCAAAGTTTAAATAGTTTGATAATTAGTTGGAAGGCATATTCATGTGTTATATTCATGTGCTATTGTCTCTAAATAGTGCGCGCCAAAATTCAACTACACAAGTAATCTTTAACTGGTGCCTACTGAAATGCCAATTCAATGCACTTCACTAGGATTCCACAACTTTCCATTGGCCTATATAAACACATAAAGAGAAGTCTCAACCACTACAACTCTCAGCAAGACTTGAAACATTCAAAGCTTTACTCTGCTTTCAAAGTCCTTACAAGTTCTTTCCTTCATTATTTGCTTATCCACATTGAAATAAACAACCATGGCTATCCGTATGCCTCGTATAATCAAGAAGTCTTCTACAGCTAAAGATGTTCCGAAAGGCCACTGTGCTGTGTATGTTGGGGAGGAGCAGAAGAAGAGATTTGTAATTCCTATATCATTCTTGAGCCACCCTTTATTTCAAAACTTGCTTAGTCAAGCTGAGGAAGAATTTGGTTTCGATCATCCAATGGGTGGTCTTACAATACCTTGCAGAGAGGATGTCTTCATTAACGTTACTTCTCGTTTGAGGAACTGAAATGGAAACTTGCTTTCACAATTTTATACTAAAGCAAGATTCGGACAATGTAAAATTTAGGAGTAGGAGAAAACAGTAATTGATGTTAGAATGAGGCTATTGCCTTTGAGTAGGTAGATTAGTGAAATTATATATACAAAGCCTGATTGTTATATAATGGGAAGATAATGAATTATTGAACCTTATTCAATTGATGATTCCATTCATTTAGCATTGGTGTTTTTTCAAGTTTTCATGGTTTTCTAACATTCTGGAGCCAGAATCAAGTGATCATTTCCAAACTAAGTGCAATAGAAGAACTACATAATAGGATAAAATCTACAGTTCTTTGCTTTCTATTAAAATGGGACGTACAAAGGTGAAAGACCTTTGCTTTGAGCATTTGTTTCAAGACTTGTTAAGTCAAGATGAGGAGCAGTTTTGTATTTGATTACCCCATTTGTGAACCAATCTTACTCTTACAAAATTAGTACTATTTCAGCAATTTTGCAGCCTCTTGTTACTCTGAGCAATTGGTTAAAACAGAGAATTGTGCTGCATTTCCATATGTAAGGCAACACTAACTAAGTAATTAGTGGAAACAGTTTGTTGTTTGCTCCGACAACAGGCATTTTACAACTCCTTGAGACGAATTTAAACTTTTTTAACTTAGGAAATTGAAATTCAGTACTCTTGTACTTGTAAAATTCAACAAGAAAAGTGTCACTACCCCTAATTTTTCTTCGCTAATATCTCTAGTTAATTGTAGCTGCACAATTGATTGAGGGAACTATAAAACACATCTAAGTGAATAAAGGGAAGATCTGAGATCTGAGTTTAGCATTATGACTTGCAATGCACAGCTTAGGAACTGACCAGGAGCATCATCATAAGATTTTTAACTTCTTCCAACTTGCTAAGTGTGACTTACCAATTGCAACATTAATGGGAAAATCAAGATTATTCGGTCTTCGGTTTCTAGACCATACTGGCCTTAATGCTGACTGTCCACAAATACATAGAATGTTTAGTTTGGTATAGGAATTTAGACTCCAATTAAAGCAATGCTGTTCAAAGTCAACTCTTTATTCGATTAATATAATCTCTTAACAAATTTAAGTCAGAGTACTATTCTTGTGGATTTGTACCAGTGAATTATCATAAATGATTAACAGATTAGAGATAAGTTTCTACATTCTTCTCTTGCTTTTCTAACCTTATTATTGACTAATGCAACTTGAGAAATATTGTAGCTTTATTGAGTTCTCCACAATAATCATCCTAAATTGACCATGTTATAAGTACTCAACAGCAGCACTATATGACGAGAATCAACATGCATCCTGAGCCGTCCCTTCAGCACTATGGATGATCACCTTTTGTCTAAAATATTCAGGAGATCACATAGATCGTGTTTTATGATCAATCAGTGGAATGCCGACTATACTTTGTTGATTCAACATCAAGAAAATGATATATCATGAATCTGTTCTTCTTTTGTGAAAATCAGTAGGGCCTTCTGCTTTTAGACATTGTTTCAAAGTCTAAAATAGTTTGATAATTAGTTGGAAGGCATATTCATGGGTTATCTCATGTGCAATTGTCTCTAAACAGTGCCTCACTAAAACTACACAGGAATCTTTAAGTGGTGCCTACATAAAATGCATATCACTAAGACTTATCTACTTGCCATTGGCCTATATAAACACATACAAAAGAACCCTCTACCACCACAGCTCTCAGCAAAACCTGAAACCATTCAAAGCTTTACTCTGCTTTCAAAGTCCTTACTTTCATTATTTTCTTATCTATATTGAACTAAAACAACCATGGCTATCCGTATAATCAAGAAGTCTTCGACAACTAAAGATGTTCCGAAAGGCCACTGTGCTGTGTATGTTGGGGAGGAACAGAAGAAGAGATTTGTGATCCCTATATCATTCTTGAACCAACCTTTATTTCAAGACTTGCTTAGCCAAGCTGAGGAAGAATTTGGTTTCGATCATCCAATGGGTGGTCTCACAATACCTTGCAAAGAGGATGTCTTCATTAACCTTACTTCTCGTTTGAGAAACTGATATGGAAACTTGCTTTCACAATTTTATAGAAAAGTAAAGCAGGATTTGCAGAGTCTGTAAAGTTTAGGAGTTGGAAGAGAACAGTAGTTGATGTTAGAACGAGGGATTTTGCCTCTGACTAGGTAGATTAGTACTTATATTTACTACGCCGGATTGTTATTCATGTCAAAAGAGATATTGAAGTTTTGGTCATTTTCTCCTAATCTTTTAATTAATGGACATATTCAATTAGCATTTGGTAATCCAGCAATGTCAAATTGATTCCATGGAAACGTTACCAATAAACTAGAGAACTCATTAAAATAATTAAAATATTATGTTGATATCATTATATAATATATATATAAAAGAGAATTTTAGGCCCGCCTACATGGCGCCACCACAAACAAGAATTTCCTTTTAATTTATTTATTTTCAAAACTAGCCTTCCCTTTTCATTAAAAGTTGTGATTTTTATGAAAAACTGTAACTTTTATGAAGAGTTGCGACTTTTATATCAAAAGTTGCAACTTTTATATCAAAAGTTGCAACTTTTATAAAAAAGTTGTGACTTTTATGAAGAGTTGCGATTTATTAAAAAATTATGACTTTTATTAAAGGTTGTGACCTTTCTGAAGGGTTGTAACTTTTCCAAAGAGTTGTGACCTTTCCGATAAGGCACAATAAACATTTGTTCACACTACCATTTGTTGTCTATAAATAGAGGAATTTTCTACTACTATTATTTGTAGGTGTTTTTCCGCTGTAGGGTAGTCGAATTCAAATATATTAATTAAGCTTCTTATGAAGTTTGTTTCATTCTTCAAAGTTTTCTTCCTCCCATTTCATGGAGCTTAATTTTTACTATAAGTCATAATGATTCATGTAACTATGACGATTTCTTTTTGCTATTTTGATGACTTTTTTTTTACTCTTTTAAAAATTTCAGCAAAGATGATTGAAAATTGATCTTCTCTTTTGTCCCTTTCTACAGGTTTCTTCATATAAATAAAGAAAATTGATTTTGATTGCAATGCAACATTACTAGGACTCTTGCACCTCTCATTCCACAACTCATAACGCTGTTGAAATGGTTAAATTCATTACATTTGGTTCTTTAGTAAACAAAACTTGTATTTCCACTATTATTTGTAGGTTTTTTTTTTTGCTATAGCGGAGTTGAATTCAAATACATTAATTAAATTTATTATGAAGTGTGTTTCATTCCTCAAAGTTTTCTTCCTCATATTTCATGAAGCTTAATCTTTTATTGTAGGTCATAGTGGTTCATGTATCTATTGCAATTTCTATTTGCTATTTTGGTGACTTTTTTTAAACTATGTTAAAAATTACAGTGAGGATGATTGAAAATATTTCTTCTATTTTGTCCCTTTCTACAGTTTTTTTCATATACTTTTTGGGAAAATTGATTGTGGGCTGTGCTATATTTGATAGCACGCAACAATAAATATGTTATAACTAATACATAACCAATGATAAAGTTTGTTAAAAGAACCAAACATATTGCTCTCTTGCTTGCCACAATAGTATATTATTTTGATTGTTTTTTCTTAGGTACAAACAATTCGTATGTCATTGAACTCTTCCTAGAATATTAGTATAGACACAATTAGTCCACTTCTTTTGTCACAAGTTAAGTAATTTGTCATATTTCTTCGTCTCTTCTTTTTGGGAATAATAAGAGATCAATTTTTCTTGCAACAAACAAATGTCCAAAATATAACTAAAATAATTTTTATAGGCAATAAATATGCATATTAACGAAGAGTTCTAGAGCCTTTACCGACATTAATTAATTGTCATTAGATTCAATATTGCTATAAACTTTAGAGACATTTATAGAGAGTACCAATTGCCTCTGAAAATACATATTTAGCGACAGCTAAGCAATTAATTGTTGTTAAAGATCATTTTTACTGTAGTGATAACTCTTTATTTTGACAATGTTTTATGTTTTTTTATAAAGAAGTGACAACTCTTTCTTTTGGATTATTTCAATTAAATTTGTGAACTGTAAACTCGGATACAGGTGTCAAAAGTTTGGTTTAGAATATCCAATTGTGAACAGTTCCATTCAGATACCACCTACTATTTGGTTCATAATTACATTTATTCTTTGTAATTGCATATTATAACCATAACAATAATTATGATTTAATTCCAAATAAGCAATAGTAATGACTACTCTGAGACAATGAGGAAAAACATTTATGATACTAACAATTTTAGGGTCATTTTTTACATATTACATGATACGTCATACTATAATAAAAACAGATTGATGGAGGTTCATAAGAAAGGAGAACTGAGAGTCTTCCATTTGAGTTTAGTTAGTTATGTTCTTTGTATGGACGTGATGTTCCACTTTACTTGGGAGTGTTGTTATTCGAGACTTTTGGTCTCTTCTTTAATGTCTAATGTTGTTCTTTATAACTTTTTGGAATTTAGCAAATTTCATTACTTCTGACCAACTATTTCTATATAGATTTTCTTAGACTTCTTTCTTGTACTTAAAATCTCTCTATAACTCATAATTTTTCTATAACAAAAACAAAAATTAAAAAATATAGAAATTTAAGATTTCGGAGGAATGCTTAGATAAAATGTTCTTGACATTATAATGTATGTATAAAAAATATGAATATTATAGAATGATCATATGTAAGCTTAATAAAATAGTTCAATCTAGTGCGAAACACGAATAATTTACCTTGTTTGCTAAGTAAATTGAAAGAATTTAATAATTGGGGATTAGGGCTAAAAATGCCACTTTGTCCCTTGATTTCTGCTACATATTCCCTCGGCTAAAAATATATGAAAACCATAGTATAATCAATAGAATGGTATTAGGAATGCATACCTAGATTTATAGGATGAAGTTCCAACTGGCTGTTGCTTAATTCCGGCCGGTCCACTCAGTCTCCGGCTCCAACGATCCAGAAACTTGGTTCTATCGTTCCTTTCTTGCGGGGCTTTTCCGACGACGATCAAATTGAACGCGCTAATCAAGAAACCGCCCTATCACTCCAATCACAAAATTTAATCATCGATTCAATGATATAATTTCAAGAAAGGCCATATATATATGCATTATACAATATATACAAGGCAGATTCATGTAATCAAGAAACTAGAATTCTGGTAATTTCAAGAAAGTAGTTCTTGCCATATGTTTTTTTTTTAAAGTGTATTTCGATTATCACACCATTTTGATGTTGTGATTGTTTTTCTCTTATAGACGTTACACTGCTTTTCTTATTAATTGTTATGCTTTCTTCCATTGTTTTCTTCTTTTTTTACTTGGTCTTGATGCGCACTTGAGCGGATGGTCTTTCTAAAACAACCTCACTACCTTGTGCACGAGGTAGTGGTAAGATGTGCGTACATTCTAACCTGGCTAGACCCCACTTTATGGATATCATTGGGTATGTTGTCGTTGAATTCATGTAGACTCATAACTTTAAGGCTAGATGATCTATCTACGAATCCAGCATACAAACGAAAATATCCTGTCTTAGTAAACTAGGCGACACAGGACCGCTGGCCAAATTGGAATGAATGTAGATTGGCATTATAAAAAGGTGCTATCTAAAGTAAACTCATTATCCTCCGACCTCCTTTTATAAACTAAACAATTCAAGGAACACTGAGTCAATTGATTTTCTTGAAAAATTTAAGTCAGCACAGCATGTTATTCTAATGGATTAGAGATAATCTTCTGTCTATGTTCTCTTGGTCCACACAACGCTTAGCAGTGGAACAACACAAGTAGACAGTGGTTGGTTTTGCTCTTCTTTGACCAGAAACATTGAACGACTTATGACCTTTTCTTATCGATAAATGAGTTTCTAGAAATATTCCAACTTATCCAAATCTCTATTATTCAAATAATAATGATCCTAATTTGACCGTTTTATAGTTACTGTATAAGTCTTCAACAGCAGCACCAACTTGTATCCTGGGCCATGACTTAAGTATTATAATTGATCATTGGAATGCTGACTACAACTTGTTGATTCAACACCAAGAAATGTCTCCAGGTGGTCCCTAAATCCACCATTTTCATGAAGATGAGGTTTCCATATGTTGTTTGTTGTGAATATCAGTGGGACCTTCTGCTTTTAGGCATAGTTTCAAAGTCTAAATAGTCTGATGATTAGTTGGAAGGCATAATCATGTGCTATTGTCTCTAAACAGTGCTGCACAAAAACTCAACCATACAAGTATTCTTTAGCTAGTGCCACATAATGCCTATCCAATGCATATCAGTAGGATTCTACAACTTGTGATTGGCCTATATAACCACATACAAAGAAGGGTTTATCTAACAGCTCTCACCAAAACTTGAAATCATACAAAGCTTTCCTCTGCTTTCAAAGTCAGATTACAATTTCTTTCCTTCCTTATTTGCTCATCTATATTGAACTAAACGACCATGGGAATCCGTATGCTCGTATAATCAAGAAGTCTTCTACAAGTGGAGACGTTCCGAAAGGCCATTTTGCTGTTTATGTTGGGGAGAAGCAAAAGAAGAGATTTGTAATCCCCATTTCTTTCTTGAGCCAACCTTTATTTCAAGACTTGCTTAGTCAAGCTGAGGAAGAATTTGGCTTCAATCATCCAATGGGTGGTGTCACAATTCCCTGTAGTGAGGATGTGTTCATTGATCTTACTTCTCGCTTGAATAGGATCTGAGGCTTTTCCTTTCACAATTTTGTAAAGAACTAACCTGGATTTCCAGTTTGTAGTTAGGAAAGACACATCATACATACCACATCTTAGAAAATTAGATAGAGGGGATTACTGTCAGATACAACAGTAGATCCCAATCGAATTGTAATATTCAGTAGTTTATCAAATGAAATCTTTTCACAGACATTCTTTATCCAATTTGGTTTGATAGTAATCTTGTTGAACAAAGTTCCTTAAATAACTCCATTTTCTCCATAACATGGAAAATGGAGCTTCTAAAGTGCAAATCTCAAATTATCCAAGAAATCATATTAGTATATGGCATTCCATTTGGACATTTTCGTTCTTTGCTTCATTTAGAAGCAAATCTCTGGCTTGATTTATCAAAAATTC